TCAGGTACCGTACAAGTAGAATATCGTTCGTTACTTTCTTTCTTTCCGCCCGTCGGCCGTTTTTTTTTTTTTTTCCCTTCACCTGCCTACCTATCATACCTGCCTGCCTACCTTACCTACCTTGCATTGCCTTGCCCTGCTTGCCTCGCCTTGCCCGCTCACCTGCATGAGAAACGGTTTCCACCGCACTATAGTACAGTACAGTGCAGTACCGTACCGCGGTTGTGATGATATGATACCTCGCGATCATGCCTCTTTCTCACTTTTCTTCCCTTCCCTTCTTTCTGCCCCTCGGCACGGCTAGTCTTGTGGGAATGCTACGATACCGGTACTTGTAACGGATAACGCCAATTTTCCCGTTTTTATTTTATTTTTTATCGCGTCGTGTCGTATCATGTCATATCATATCATATCGTAACATTGCGTCCTGTGGTGATGATGATACAGTGCTAAGGCTGAGACCGAGATTGGAACTGGGACTGGGAAACTAATGCTTGGGTACGGTATGCTCCTTCTCCTGCGTCCGGTCGGGATTTCGTACGGCACGTACTGCATTCTATCACACTGGGTAGAATACTTATCGGCACGGTGGGTATACAAGTACTACCTGTACCGGAAGGTTTTGTTTATTTGTTTGTGGGTATCATAACTATATTATAATATCATCACAGGTAATATCATGGGTTGTGATTACCGGTATGATACTCGTACAAGTACGGCAGGTGTGGATCCCTGCCGTTACTGAACTGCACTACACTGCACTGTACTCGAGTACTGCACTGTACTGTACCGTACCGACTGACGGATGGCCGAGAAAAGGAAGGAAGCAAAGGAAGCGCTGGGAATTGTACGATTATCCATTCCATCCATCCATCCATCCCACGGATTCCCACCTGCCGTCCTCGTCACGCACTTCATTCTCCTACCTTCCTTCCTTCCTTCCTGCTTTCCCATCTTCCTTGACCAAAGGAAAAAAAAAAGTTCTAGCTGAACCGGATTGGCCTTGACTTGGGAATTCATATAAAATTACCCGTGAAAACATGGAGACGAGGGTGAGAAAGAAAAAAAGAAAAAAAATGCCCGGTATCGTGCAAGTACGTAAGTAAGTAAGACGGACATAAAAGACGGAGAGAGAAAGAGAGAGAGAGAACGGAAGTCAAAGAAGGGAAGGTGACTAAGTTAAGTTCCTCCTCATCCTCATCCTCCAGTGCAAGGAAAATGGAATGGAATGACATGACGACATCCGAGGCATTCATACAGATGTTCATAATTATGATAAATATGACGGACGAGCAAAACGTTAGTCTAGGCATAGCAAGCAAGCAACAAAAGCGCCAAGCAGGTTAGTAGATAATATTATGGTACCAGTATGATACAGCAAATTACGAATCAATCAGTTAATCGAAACGACAGACCTCTGTAGTCTATCGTGTAATATCATACCTGTGCGGTACTGTGCCCTATCAATCAATCAGTCAATCATTCAGACTTTTGACTTGACCTCCCACTCTCGTACCACCGCACCCTCCTCCATTCACTCATTCATTCCTTCATTTCAGAGCATTAAGGTACTGTAGCTCTGCCACAACGGCTTACGGTACGCGACTGTACCAGTATTGTAAATATAACCTCCTCCTCCTCGTGGGAAGTCGGTCTATCATGTATCACCACCCTACTCTGTGCTATTCCGACGGTTTTATCATTGGAAGGTATGGGCTTAACGGTCGTGCCGTAATCACACGATCTGTACGCGGTGAGTTTCTATTTCCGTCCTCTCCTACACACACACACACGCACATTTTCCGTCCTACCACCTTCATTCGATAAAGCGAAACGAAACAAATTCCGAGGTATGATATCGGTTACAAGTATCCTGGGGAGGGGGGTTATTCAGCCCCGCCTTCGAAGGGAAAGCGTTTCTCGAGTGCAAAAGTTGGGAAAAAGAGATCCCCCGCCCAATCAACCGGTATGCAGAGAAATGGCATTACACATGCCAAAGTCGAAAGGAAAAACTTGCATAGACCTCTTTTTTCTTTTCTTTTTTCCTCTTCAAACCCGGGGCTGAGTGTATCTGATCTGCGGTACCGTATGATGATGATAAATAAATAAATGAAAGCGGACAAGGCCAGGCCAGGCTGGGGAGTATGGGTGGATGAACAGGAGCGAACCAAAACCCCATCCTCCCATCCATATGATAACTCGCGGTACCGGTCGTCTACCGTGGATAATAGAGACTTTGCGATTTCGCATCCAGAGTCAAATTCTAGCGATCTAATTGGCCCAGAACCCTGTTTGACCCACATCCAGAGTCTTTTCGCAAAGTCCCTAATTGGATCAGACGGAGAGCTGGACTAACGCTGACTCGATCCCCATTTTGGCAAGTTCCGTTCGAGGGAAGAGAGGGGAAAAAAAGAAAGAAAAAAAAAAAGAGACAACTGACCGGGTGCCGTAATCAGTACGAGCGCAAGCACCTAGGCGGGGCGCTGAACTAGCGGTATCAATGATACGGTGTGTATCGTATCATATCGTATCGCAGGCGTGCGCGGATCCCGACATCTCGGTAAATTACAAGTGATTCGCGGGCCCTATCGGAGGGTGGGGACGGAGGGAGGGGGAACGATGAGCTAACCGGACCCAAATTAACTGAGCAGATGGTCATAAATAGAGTGCTGGATGGACTTTCTGTGTGTACTCGAGTACGGTATTGGGGATCGATCTCTTTGCCGTTCGCTAGGTTGGTTGGTTGGTTGGTTGGTTCGGAGGGTGGTGGATATTGTTATTGCTCCTGTTATTGTTGGAAAGGAAGCGTCGGTCGGTCGGCGGGTGGGTCGGTCTGGACTACCCTACGAGTACCGGTATCATCATACCGGTACTGTTGCCTTCATTTTGGTTTTCGCCATTACTGTGCCCTAGGAAGCTTGTCCGTTGCTGTACTGTACCGGTACCAATAATGTCACGCCGTAAAATCTGGGTACTCGTACAGCTAAACTCGACTCGCCACCATACTCGTCAGGGTAGCTGCTAGTGCTCTTGGGGCCTAATTCTGTGGCGAATGCGCTTGTCCGGGGATAAGTAACTGCCATACAGAGGATAGTGCCGGGTCGAGTTTACCCAGAATTTGCAGTGCTACGAGTATACCGTACGGATAGACAGATACAGGTAGGGGTGGAAGAACGAACGAGTGAGTGAGTGAGGATGATGGCGAGTCGTCGCGTTTCCTTCTCCTTCCTCTTGTCCCTTCCTTCCCTCTTCATTCGCCTTCACAAGTTACTGTAAGCACTGTCAGCAAAGACAATTTTTACCGACCGACAGACCGACGCATTTTGGACTAAAGGGCGGCACTGTACAAGTACGGTACGGTAAACCGTAAATTTAGGTAGGTACGAGTATTGCTAAGTTATGCAGCTTACGAAAGATCCTCAGGAACAGAAATCGAAGCCAGCCAAAAAAGCCACCAGCACCGAAAGGAAAAAACCAAAAAAACTTGGCTCTTTTTTCTTTTTTCTTTTTTTCCCTTTCTCTCCTCCTGCTTCCTCTAGTTTCTTTTTCATCATAAGCGGCACCCGTTAGGAGTATGATACCCTGATCTCACCATGGGGTTCATACCGTAAGTCAAGTAAAATTGCGGGCGTAACGCATCGCATCGCATCGCATCGCAGCGCATCACGGCATGATGATGGAACATGCCCAACGTTTCTATTTATATACGGTAGGGTGTGGGAAGGTTGTCTTTCCACCCGTGTGGGTGTGGGAAGTAATTATTGTTTGTGAGGGAAAGGGAAGAAAGGGAAAAAAAGAAAAAAGAAGGCGATATCATATTATTTATTTATTTCATCTTTCCTTCTTTGTTTTTCGTATTTCTTTTTCGACCTGAGGTGGTGGAGGAGGGATTGTTGCTTTTTCATTTTTCTTTTCCGTGATCAGAAATACCGTATCGTTTTGAGCACCGGTAGCGTTACTGGAAGGGCTCCCTCGCATTCGACGGGCTCTCGTCATCCGTACCTGAAGTGAAAAAGTGAAGTGAATTTATCCGCATGTCAGTCAGTCAGTCTGTCGATCGGCACCGAGGAATGGGTGGATCGAAGGTATTGATGCCTTGTGCAGACGCAGAGAAGCAGAGCATGGTACGGTATCCTCCTCGCATCTCCGCCCTGAAGCTGAGGAAGAAGAAGGAAGGAAGGGAAGAACAACAGCAGCAGCAGCAGCAGCAGCAGCAGCAAAAAGAAAGAGAGAACCGTACGAGTAAGGGAAGGTAGAATTGAGTTTGAGCGCGATGCAGGGTCTTCTACGTGCGCTCGTACATGGACTAGCTCGCTTCAAAGAAAACGCCCGCGAACCCTTTTCCCAAACGCCCCCCTCGTCCTCGTCCCGGATACGACGATCCAGTGGGCACCAAGCCTGTCACGGGAAATGGAGAACTCGCAGCATCTGCAATCCCGCAGAGCACGGTAGACCCCGGTATCGTATGGGGCCGTGGACAAAGCCTCCGCGAGAGTCTGATGCGGTGCGGCAGTCCACCGCTAACAAACCTTTTCGGGCCCGAGGCCGCAGAAGTGGTCGCTGAGGCTACGGTAGGGTGCCGCGGTTTCGCCGTAAATTACGGTGCAGGTAGCTTATGCCGCTGTAGCCATGTGGAGAGGGAGAGAGAGAGGGAGAGAGGGGGGGGGGGAGAGGTGGGCACCCCTAGACCCCACATGATACCTGGGAATCGTCGATCTCTCTCTCCCTCTCTGGGGTAAGGAAAAGGGCAAATCGGGACAGGTTTGGAGAGGAACGGCTGATGCGATAATAGCCGGGTGGGCGTCTGGTGCGGTAGGGGTTTGTTTGGGTGCTTGTCCTGGAGGAGTGTTCGTCTATTCCTATCTTGATCAAGTCTTCCTCCGTTCCTGCGTTCTGTAGGGTGGGATGGGATGCATGTCTTAGCGCCCCGACCCTTCGTGCTCGGCGACACTCGAACTGGATGGGACGGACACGGCAATTCGTCTGGAGTTTTCTGGGGGATGCGAGTCGGTCTTCCTGTTCCTGCTTGCCTGCTTGCCTGCGTTCCTGATTTTTGTTGCCTGCTCGGTTTGGGGGGATTTGCTTTGACTTGTTTTTTTGTTTCTTTTCGCCTATTTTTTTTTTCTTTTCTCCCTCTCTTTTCCCTTTTTTACTTTTGCTGTACTTGTACTAGTACTGTATCATACCCTATCCTGCTTTCCTGACCGCTTTGGCGGACCGACCCTGCCCATGATTTCTTCTTCACCGTACGTACCCTACCACCACTTTCTCCTTCCCTCCCCCGTCTCTCTGATACCCATTTCTACACTTTTGCATCAATCTCCTTCTGCCCTTGGGCTGGACGAACAAACACCATATCAGATCATATCATATCGCACTGGTGTCGTACGGTGCTTTCCCCAATCGTGGAGAAAGAGAGAGTGGTCATACCCATCCGTTTATCCCACGAAACCCCACGGCCGGAGCGTTCGGTTGGGGACTTTCCCCCCCCCCCCAGCTCGGGAAGAGGTTCAAGACATGGCTGTGACGACCGAGCGAGCGAGCAAATGGTTGCAAAACCCCCAATACTCCCAAGGTCAGACCTTGTTCACCTCTCCCTTGTCATCTCCCGAAGAGAGAAGGAAAGGAAAAAGAAAGGAAAGTCTCGCTCAGGGTCCGCTTTCCACATTTTCCACATTTTTGGATCAGTGCGATGAATCCGTGGATAATTTTCCTCCCTCCCTCCCTTCCTTCCAATTGGCGATGGACGGATTGATTGATTCTTTTTTCTTTTTTTCTTTTGGGGAATCGGGCTTGGGTGGAACTGACTACCTAAGCAGGGTAAAGTATGGATAGGAAGAGATGTTACGGAGGGAAAATTGGTGATTGATTGAGGATTGATTGCTGATGCCTACTCCCTCAGCTTCAACTCACTTCATGTTGATGCACGTCAAACGATTCGTCCGAGGTTGGTGGCAATTCATGGATCGGTGTGTAAAAAAAAAAGCGCAGATGGATGAGTGGATTATTAATTTCTCATCTGTTCCTGTGGATAAATTTCATCATTGTATCATACCGTACCGTGCTCGAGTACTCACACAGGTACCGGTACTCATTTTTTTTATGGGTGCGGTGCTGAGGCTGAGGCTGAGCTTCTCGCCCGTTGGCTACGAGTGCCGCGAATGACGGAATGCATCGAACTCATGCCGGGAGGGAGAGCTGCTGAGGAGAAAAAGTGAGTCGAGTTTTTTTCTGCTGGGCTTGGGGGGGGGGATTTGGGTTTCGGGTTGGATGGATGGTTTCCTTGGCTTGGCCACACGCGGCAGCTGCCACCATCACCAGAATCCAGGGTGTACTCGAGTACTTTTTACGCTTTTCTTTTCTTTTTTCTTGCTTGCTGAACGCCCCAAATCATTACCGACGATTAAAATGATTACGGGGGAGAGAGATCTTGACGCTTAGCTTGATTGATTGACGGGATGGCATAGGATAGGTGATGGGTGATGGGTGATGAGATGGGGGAGGGGGGTTGATGAAATGGGGCTGGCTGTATTGTGACTTTTTTACTGGCCGCTCTCGAGTAGGCCATGGCGGCGAAAAGGTTTTTGTCCATAATATCAATAATATTTCGAGCATCTCCACCTTCCCCTGGTAGCTCCTTACCAGTACAAGTACAATATTGGCGGCGGAACCCATGCCTTTAGAAGGATAGGTTGGGGGGAACTGGGGGAAAGCATAGCGGTATGATAGCGGTATCATACTCCAGGAGACATAGCGGTATGGTGCTCATGTGGTGCCCCAGCGGTATCATACTCGTAACCTTAGACAGAGGAAAGATGGGCTTCGTCTCTCGTCGGTCGCCGCCCGGACTTGTACATGATAGGTACTCGGGTATATGATTGATGGTTAATGACTCTCCCCCACCCAGCGATATTTGGTTGAGCGTTGAAGCTTGAGTTGGACTGTCTTTTTCGTTATGATATCATGCTTTCTTTTTCTTCTTCCTCTCTTTTCCGCCCGTTCAAAGGTTTTCTCTCGCTTAGACTACCAGGTGAAGTGGTCGGGCGGTCAAGCTCCCCCAGCCCCAACCCAGCCAGCGGTTCCAGCTAACCCGACCCGATAAACCCAGCCCCAGTTTCCAGCGGCCGGTTCAACGAGCGCCGGTATCGAGCCAGCGAACCGTGTAATTTTTTCATCACACCTCTGGGGCTTGTACTCGAGTATGATGCTGCTGCGGGACCGGTGGACTATCCACTGGAATGCACGGCACGAGAAGTTGGGGTGGGGGAGGAAATAAATTTAATCGTCGATGCACTGCGCAAAAAATATCAAATTCCCTTGTTAGGACCTTTCTATTCCTAATTCCATGTTGGGTTGGGTTGCCTCGCGTTGCTTTGGGTTGTGTGCTTCTACCCAGCCTGGCTGTGGGAGGGAAAATAGTTCCAGTTGCACACGCCTCACCACTGGGAGCGAGAGAGGTGTGATGATGATACAAGAATACCCTACTGTGCTTGTAATAGTAATAATACCGGTACAAATAATAATGTTTATACTTGTACAGGCAATAGTAAAATGATCAAAAAGTAATTTCAGATGGAAAAAAAAAGGAAAAAAATTGTTATCATACTATTTTCTTTCTTTTTTTCTTTCCTCTCGAAAACTGTTTGGCACAATCCGCTTTGGTAAGGTGCAGGAAGGAAAAAGTATTATTCAGTCCAAAAGCTGTCCATCACCACAGCCCATTTCATCCCCTTCCCGACCGCAATACTGGGATGTGATTGGACGGATGGGTGAACATCAGAGCACGCGCAGAATTGGCTTTCTCTTCTGGGGGGAGAGAGGCAAGAGGTTGGAAGCATTCCTGTTCCAAATGTCACAAGAGAGATACCAGTATCAGGATGGGGGTGTGCGAGGGAGGCGTGTAAGTGGATGGCTCGGTCCACAAATATCCTTTTTTTACACAACCCACCACCACCACACCCACCCACACAACCCACACACACACATCTCCCATGTCAAATGTAGAACCCATGCTGCTGCTCCTGCTTCTCAACTCGTACAGCTAGCCAGCTACCGTGATGAACCGTAACCTGCGGTTACTCTTGCTGGAATCAACCCCATCCACCACCCATCTCACTCAATCCGCAAATATCATATTCTGGCTTTCTTTTTTTGTCCACATTTGCCTCTTCCAGTTACCGGTACTCGATTCCGTGTTGCTCCCCTCGCGCTGGCTTCTCCTCTGGTTGCTCGGTTGCTTTCTTTGGTTGGCCACTTGTGCTGCTCGTTTCTTTTCCGGGCGATACAGGTGGAAGCACCCAAAGCTGGACCCTGTCACTCTTTTTCCGGTTGCTGTACAGTACTCGAGTACGGTACCTGTGATATCGTGTGAAGTGACCGTCCGAGCTGTGTGAAGCGGCCGGGTTGGGGGGAGATGGAGTTACTCTGGCAGTAGCAGAGGTGTGAGGGAGGCGAGCAGAGCGACTCGCTCCGTCGCCGCCCCCTCTCCCCCCCAGAGGTGATCCAACCACAATCCCTCCCATCCACAGACACTCATCACACACCCATTCCCATCCATCACCCATCACCCATCCAACCCACACATCCCCCCCCCCCCCCGAAAAATAGGTCCAACTAATCCTGGCAGCTACAGCCTCCTTCCCTTCTTCCTCTTCTCCCTCTTCTTCCCCACCATCCGCCCCATCATCTCCTTCTGGTTTACTTGACCGTCCTTCCCTTCCCACCTTCACCCTCTTTTATTTCCTTTGGATCATCATCTTGTGCTGTGTGAGCTTTCGGGTTTTCCTTTCCCTTCCTTTAAGTTTGTTTGATTTTCTTGGTCTTCTCTTTTGCGCGGTATCAGCTCTCCCATTTCCACCTCGCCCTCTAGTCTCTACTTCGGTCGAAGACTACCTGGAAATACGTCCTCTTTGTCCATTTCTTTCTTTCTTTCTTTCTCTATCAGATATACACAAACCCACTGGAGCTCTTCGCCAGTTCCTTGAATTCCTTCTTTTTATCATTATTCGAGAGAGAGAGAGAGAGAGAAAAAAGAAAAGAAAAGAGTCAACGTTCAACGGGCACCCTAATATTAATTCGTCAACTTGTCGAAATCGCGCATCTACGAATCGGCCATATCCACGAAAATCACCTTCCTTTGGAATCCCATCGACCACATTCACTAAAACTACGCTCTTTCACCTACTCGGGATAATAACTGTCACGTTTACCCGCCCTATAGCACAACTTCACGACGCGCCTCACTATTATTTATATATACGCCTTTAGTAAAGTCAACACTCGTAGTTTTAAAGCCATACTTAATCGATTAGTTCTCATTGCAACTATAGCAACCTAATAATTACTACTACTCCTACTACTACTACTACCACACAGCATAACGGCAGCAGCAACCACAACAACAATAGCAATGGAATCCTCATCCTTCTTCTACTACACTCCGGATACCACTTCCCAGACAAAGCAGCACGGTCATTTCCTGCCCCATCCCAATGGCCACTCTCAGCAACAACAGCAGTCAGCTTCTCAATGCGACCAAAGCTTGACGAATTCGAACGTGCCATACCCGTCCTCCTTGGTGTACTCCAGGCCCACGTCATCCCATTTGAAGCCACCCACGTTACAGGCATCGCCGACACCTCTTCTGGCCACGGGCACCTTATCATCGGAAAGCCTTCAGAAACAGACCGGCCTTCTCACACCTTCATCTCCCAACCTTCTCGGGATGGACGGACACAACGGCGGTGATATGTACTTTTTCCCTTCCACTCCAACACTTTCATGCAACTCGGTCAACACGCCGCCAATGAGCACTGTCACCACTACACCTTTAATCACATCGTGGTCCTTGGATGATGGCTGCAATAGCACCATTACTCCCTCAGACATTCAGCTTCCCGGCACTCCCGACATGTGGAAAGAGAGCCCTCCCATGACTCCAGGTAATGCTCGGTCACTGAATTCATCCAATTCTGGACCAATTGACTAAGATTGTTTGATAGCATATATTTATCCTCCCAGCCTACTACCCACCCGCTCGAGCCCTTCGGTCCTTTTGCCGGCTTGTCCCTCGTTGTCACCGGCCTCGGATCACTCGTCTCCAGAGGTCGATTTCTGCGACCCACGAAAGCTTACCTATCCGTCACCCAATCCCTCCGCTCCCGACAAGGACTTGGAGTTTGCTACTCTTCCTTCCATCTGTGATGATGACGATGAAAACAACTTCATGCTCCGGGTCGGAAAGGAGGCTATCAAGACCGAGGAAAAGGATTTTCCCCATAGCTACTTTGGTCTCGAGGAGCAGCTCTCTGATTTCGAGACTGATAACGAGCTTGTTTCCGGAATGATGGATATGCCACAGAACACCATCAACCCCGCTGATCTTCTCGGGGACAAACGTCAACATGATTGCTTCGATGAGGAGGAGGGCTGGGAGGGGATTGGTGATATGAGTGATGATGAGAGCGTGTCTGGTGATGCGAATAATCTGGAATCCCAAGTACCGTTGTCCCCTCCAGCATCTGATTCATCCCGAGGGAGCTCCGTGATCCCCCCCACCAAGCAACGCAAGGTTCAAAGGAAGGTTAAGGTTGAGACATACGAGGACTCGGAAGCAGAGCTCGACGATATAATTGCCAACGCTCGAGCAAACGGCTACCCCGAGAATGCTTGTGATGGTGACTTCTTTTCGCACTCTGGCTGCCACGAATCGTCAATCACGCCAGACCCAACCGAGGCCTCATTCTACGAGTCTTCGGATTCGCAGGAGATTTCCCCAGCACCCGTCGTCCGCCGTGGACGTAAGCAGTCTTTGACTGAGGACCCCTCAAAGACTTTTGTGTGCCACTTGTGCTCCCGTCGCTTCCGCCGACAGGAACATCTCAAGAGGCACTTTCGCTCTCTCCACACCAAGGATAAGCCCTTCTCTTGCGGCGAATGCGGCAAGAAATTCTCACGCTCCGATAACCTGAGCCAGCATGCACGGACTCACGGAAGTACTACCATCCACATGACCCTCATCGATGGTGACATGATGGGTGAGGATGATTCGGACATGCTTTCAGAGCATAGCGAATCGTTAGGTATTGTGCTTGTCAACGCAGGTCAGGCCTCGTCCGGAATCAAGGATAAGGTTTCTTCATCGTCAGAGTCCAAGAAGAACCGACGTAAGAGAAAGAGAGACGAGTAATGGTAACACGACAGGTGCCTAGGCGTGTGGTTAGCATAGCGAAAACATTGATTTTCGGGCGCTATTATTCTTATTGTTTTATTGTTTACTTTTATCAATTCTTTTCTTCAACATTGAATTATTATTCAATTCCTTATCACGTGTTGATTGAGGGTTTTAGATACCAGGGGAATGGCGGTGGGTTGGGGCAGGCACAAAAGAATTAATGCGGCGCTTATATTTGGGGATTGTGATTTGTTTCTTTTTTCTTCTTACTTTTTCTTTATTCCTATTGCTTTCAATTCTCAGTAAGAGGAGGGTCTCCGATTGAAAACAGAAGCTCACGAAAGTTGGACGCCGCGACACGAGCAGATACGAAAAAAACCATTCATCAACGTTACTATTAATCATTTCCGGGGCAATTATTTCCTTTCGATTCGGAGCAACAAAAATAATTCATAGGTGGGCGAGATATGGGGTTTTAGGGGTTTCATTTGGTCGGTAAAAAGAGCAGAAAAAAGGCGGGGGGAGCCAAATGGGTTTTTCGAAGAGCAAATTTCCAAATTTCCAGCAAATCGGCATTTTTATACCCCTTTGAGAACTAAGATGAGAAGGCCGTCATCCTATTAACAAGCGCTCGTTACGTGAACATGGTTTTGCTCGATTGGGAACAAAATGGGCGTTTGGCGACAATGGCGGCATTTATAGGCTGATCGTTTCTTCATCATTGGTTCTTGGACGGATTTGTTTGGGGCTTGGTCATTGCACTCTTCAGCTGCTTCTTTTTTTTTTTTTTTTTTTGTTCTGGGTTGGTTTTTATTGTGTTTTTTTTTTTAGGGTTTTTTTATTATTTTTATTTTTCACTGTCTTTGGGGGGCATCTGAGAAACGTTGATATTCATTTGTGTATTTTTTTTATTTCTCTTTCTTCATTCGCTTCACTTTTTTACTCCTTTCGTTTACTCGTTTTATGGTTGCATGGAGGAGGTTTTGGTCTTGGTTGTTTTATTTTTATTCTCTTTTCATATTATTATTATTTCTTCCGGAATGGAAGGAGATGGGAGATGAAGGCGACGGAGGATATGGTAGGATGGTTTGGTTTTTGCAGGGGTTTTTTTCCTTTACGCTTTTTCTTCTTCTTTACCTTATCTCCGTGCTGGGCACTTTGAACTTGTTTCCTTCTTATTTCTAACTTGTATTGTCTTGTATTCTTTCTTATTCCTTCTTTTCCGTTCTTTTTTATTTATCTCTATTAACAATTTTCTTGATGCTACATTTTTTACCCTTACCTGCTAGCCATACCTACGCATGATAATTAGTCTAGTCTAAGTCTAGTCCGGTCCATTCCATGACCTTGCACGAGAGAGAATAGCGTAGCCTTTCCTGCACCCTCCCAATAGTTGCACATATCCATCCCCCATAACGTTACCGTACCGCCGTGAACCCATTCCGTTCCACAAGCACGATGAAGCGAAACACCGCAGGGCACACACTCCCGCATATGCATCCAATACCATACCACAACATATCCCACCGCCCAACAACCCCCCCCACCCACCCAGCGCTAAAAAATCTCATATGCAGCTGGCAGCCCGTAACACAGCACTGGACAAAACTTAAGCGCCAGCAACCAATCCACCCACCCATCCATCCATCCATCCATCCATCCATCCATCCATCCGTACATCCATACTGTACATCCATAGGTCGGTAGAGAATCCCACGGGCGATGACGAGTCCCTGGTATTTGTACTGTACTGTACTGTACTGTACGCTACGATGAGATGCCTTATTTCTTTTTTTTTTCCAGGAAAAAAAAAAAGAGGGAGGGTTGTGAATTTGTTTGATATGATATGATATATCGTGGGGTTTACGGTAATGCACTGTGCTGTACTGTATTTAAATTTACGAGTAATCGTACTCTGGGCTCTACACTTCAAAAAGAGGATGTACCGTACGTGTTTTTTTTTTTTCATAACTGTACTAGCACTCTGTCGTACTTTATGTGAGTGAACGCATAATATAATAGCCGGTATTGTTGAATACACAAAGTACTGTACTAGTACAGTAAAAACAGAGTGAGGTGGGTTTTATCTAACAGCAAGCAAGTAGGATATTTTCAACAACTATTTTCAAACGGCCCTTCCAGCCTCCAAATGACATGGGCTGGGACCAAAGTTAAAGCTCCTCTGTCCTTGATGCTACCGGCAGCGCAACAAAAACTTTTTTTTTTTTAAAAAAAAGGAAATTGAATCGACAATAAATGTAAGCCCGGAAAGCGACAGAAAAAAAGTGGGGGAATACAATAAAGCAAGAAGGGAAAGCAAGAGAGCTATACAGAAGAAACCAGTTAAAAATGCTGTGATACCCGTTATTTTTGTTTTGTTTGAAACACCCTTGGGGATTTAGTTCCACACTCTGACAACCACAAATTGTATATGCAACTGGTGTTTTAGTAAAGGGGACTATGACACCGCACAACTTACTTCATTGTGCCACTCCACTGCACACTAATCAGTCTCCATGCAACACCTTCAACATCTCACATTGCTCATACACAGCCTGCAGTTCCTCCTCCTTGATAGGGATACCCCACAACCCCCCATCGTGTGCACTATCTACCGGCTCACCCGTCTTATCATCGACCAGGGTGATGCCCAGGACAAAATAATCGGCGGTACGCTGGGTCTCTTTAACGAATTCTGAGACACGCTCGCGCTCCTCCGCAATCACCTTCTCAATCTCGGCTTTTCTAGAGATGTTCTCCTGACTCTGATGCTCTGGGTTGGTGCCACCCCCGGGGCTTGTAGAGCGATAGCGGAGGGAGCTCGAGCTGCCGCCAAAGTGTCTGCCGCGCTCATGGTCTGTATTGTCTGTGGGAACGCTTCCACCGTCGTTCCAGTCTGTGATGGTCGGAAGCCGGAACCAGACCCTTTCGCGACGGATCGAGTCCACGATCCGGAGAATTTCTTCAACAAATTCGCAGTAGAAGAGCGCTGTGTCGATTTGAACGAGCTTCCTGAATTGGGAGGCGCCAGGATGAGCCGTGTGCCATTCCCCCGGTCTGCTGTCATGTCGGAAGATCGGATCTAGTATTTCATTGCTTATGAAGCGGACATCCTCGAGTGGTGGGAGTAGAACCTCCGGCATAGGCGTGGAAGGGAGAGATGGGAATGACTCTGCGAATAGCTCCTCCGATGTCTTTACTTGTCCGGGGGGGGGAGTATTGAGCGATCGAGTGGAAGCTGATCGAGGAATTCCCCTCATAGGCTCAAACGACCCCCCTGAGAAAGTGGGAGCTGGATCTGACTTGTGCTTGTCAATCCGCTCACTCTGTGTTACAGTATCCGTCGAAGATCCTTCGGAGTCGGCTGCGCTTCCACAGTTTGGGCAGTCCTCCGGGCACCAATCATTACACCTGGTCGGGTTGTCCCAAGCGTTCCCTTTCTGATCTCCCGGAACAATCTCGTGGGATGCCGGTACAAACGCTTGTTGGAGGGGCGGTCCCCCCCCAATAACCCAGCCAATGATGCTGAATAGCCAGAAAGGAGAGGATCCAATGGCTTTAGGATCCATCTCGAAACAGTACTCTGCCCTCCATCTCAGCAATTGTTCTTGCAGGGATACTCCTCTACCTTGTGCTTTCAAGCCTAGCCTCCACAGCATGCTATCAATCCCGTACTCGCCAAATTGGACCGCATCCCTTGCCTCGGCCAAGTTTGAAAGCGCCCTGGTAGCAACAGCCTCCCTGTGTTTGGGGCTAATATGTGCCCATTCGTCTTCAAAAACACTCTTGATCTTGAAATACTGGATCCTTAGGAGGTTTTCCTGGAGTAGCAATTGACGGTGGGATTTATTGAGATAGGCTCGAAACTGCGGGGTCGTATAGAAGCTCTCAATGAGAGTTAACGCCTTCAGGTCATTGTTAGGAAGTGCCGGCTTTGGGCCAGTGTGCCCAGAAGGCCAATCGGTACCCGTTTCCTCCTGCTCTTTGTTGTCTTGAGTTGTGCCCTGGGACCGGGGAATTGGCTCAAACGGCGTTGCCAGAGCGGAGAGTTGTGTATCCACGGCTCTTTTTGATGTTTGGTCTCCTGTTTGTTGGGGGCTCACGATCTGTCTGGGCGGAGTGGATGGCTCTACAGGTGCCAGGCTCGTAGTTTGGGGAGTGCTGGGTGGTGCAGATGGGGTTACTGCCATAACCTGTACTTCCTTAGCAGCATCTGGAATATCAGCTTGTCTACTGGTAGGGGTTACAGGTAACTTTGCCTGCTTCTCCGGAGACTGAGAGCTACTAGCTGCCCGGGGCGAAGTGCATGCCCTCACCCGGGCTCCCTTAGTATATCTGGATACCTCAGCGGGGGTGGGTGAAGTTAGTGCCATTGCCGCTGGGTTGGGAACTACTTGGGGAACGTTGGTGAACCAAGGAGAGCCCGGTGGCTTTGTCCGTTGCCCTTTAGCAGGTTCGGTGATCTCGGCTGCCCTTGCCAAGGGTTGTCGCTCCTTTTGGGTTTTCTTGGTAGACTGAATCTTGGTTGGGTCGGGCTCAGTGAGCATAACTATCTGTGTTTCCTTAGCAGTATTGATTGGTTCGCTTGGCATTGGCGGGGTCTGTGGTTTTGTCTGAGTGCTCCTGGTGTATTGGGCAATGCCAGTTGGCTTTGAAGACTTTGGCGGCATTATCTGTGATTCCTTAGCAGGCTTTGATACAGAGCTACCTTTGACTATAGAGCTCCAAGTTATTGGGGCGGGAGGCTTGTCCACTTTTGGGTCTACAACAGGAGGCGCCTCATTTCTTCTGGTTGGGGCCCCCATTGGGTTACCTCTGCCAATTCCCAGAGCAGGAGCCTTATAAGGTAATGACCCTTCTGACTTGATGGGTCTTAAATTTTGCTGTCTTCTATCAGAAGGATCAGAACCTTTCGTGGTCAACGGGCCATCCTCGCCCTCACCTTTAGCTGATCCAGAGTCAATGACCTTACTTGGCACCCTCTGGCTTGCCTCCGAGTATGTTTGCTTCCTCTCTAGAGCCATCCCTCTCTTATGTGGGGGGGTTTTTCTGCCACTCGGGTTGGGTATAACAACTCGAGCTGGCGGAGCAAGTGGCTGTGTTGTTTTTTGAAGTTCTGAGTTCGGATGTCCTGTGTTTCCAGCAAATCCAGCGGATTTCGCTTTCCTAAGCAGCGGCTCCTGATTCTCGCAGCCTAGGATGGCTCTAGAAACGGGTTTGGTGTCTTCGCTAGAATTGTCATTGGCCGGAGGTCCCGGGAAACGCTGGTTGCTAAAGTGTGAGCTACTGTGGGGAATTGGAATTTGCTGGACCTTGTGGGAATAAAGGCTGGAATAGGTTGTGTCTAAACTATGGGAAGCCGGAAACTGCCGAGGTGCATGGAATGTGTGTTCAAGCAGTTGTTGAGAGGCCTGTGGCTGCTGGGGCTGGTGGGGACCCCATGTAGCCCACCTAATTGGTCCGGGTTGTTGCAGCGTGTTGCGCGCCAGGTGGCTGTGTGTTTGGACCGACTGTGTCTTATCACGCATCTCATCTATCAAGGTTGGGTGGATTGCTGGAATCTGCTCCCAGAGAGGGACGATTTGCCCACGAGAGGGAGGGATCCTCGTGCGATCTTTCTCGGCAATCATGAGCTCTTCCAATCTCCCGCCGAGGACCCTCGCTATCCACCGCTCCATCCTTATCGAGATGATTGCATCCGGAGCTCGGTGATAGAATTTTGAATAGAGATAGCTGAGCTCATGGCGGTTGTTTCCAATGGACTTGACCCATAGCTTAGCATTGGACCACTCACAATCCTGGATGCTAAGGACGAAAGCGTCATATCGTTCTCTGCATGTTGTGGTTTCACAGCGACCAGGAAGAAAAGTTCGAGTGAGTGTGTGGGCAAGAGCATCCACACCTGGAGTGTGCGAACCCCTTCTATCCCTCCTTCTCGGTTTTAGGGACTCGAGACCTAAGGCCAACGAGCTGTACATCCGTGGGTGGCCATTTGAGGCTGGGAGAGCGTTTATGTCAAATCGCTCGACCATCAAATTCAGCAGATGGAGGTAACCCTGCTCGATGAGGCATTAGCGCATTGCGGATTAACTTGGCCGGAAAGCGGTGGGAAACTTGCACTACTGATTCTTTCCATTTCGAAGGCCCTATGAAGGAAGTCCATTATTACTGCGGGCGAAACCTGGGGGGGTTGGGGTGGCCGACGCTGTTCGGACGCCAATGTAGTAGTTGCACCCTCATGGGTATAATGCGAGAACGGGGTTGGCGGGTTGATGAGAAACGGTGGGGTTGATTGGAGGGGAGCGGCTCCGGGCGGTAAGGGCATTTCGCTGGACTCTTGAGGAGTTTCTCCGCCGGCGCGGAAAAACAAATTCGGCGGCAGATTTGGTGTTTGAGCTATCTTTCCCGGGTAACTTTATGGATGATTGCTTTTGGATACAATGGGGTGTAAGGCGATGAGGGTGGGAGTATGAGAGTGTGAGGGCTGGGGAGTGGGGTGATAGGAGGGAAGAGTACCGGAGGGGGGAGGGGGGTGTTTATGATACTGGAATAAGGTGCGGGCAAGCACCTGATGGTGGGATGAAAGAAGGAAGGAAGGTGGGATGTCTTATAATGGTTTCAAAGGGGTAGGGTATCATACTGCCCAGTGGTGGTGAGGAGGCTCTGTTTGTAGGGTACGCGTTACAAGTGCAATGGGTTTGATTTGTGAGTGACGTTTGTTCTGAGTGAGCCCTGGTTGCCTAGCATAGGTTAGAGTTTCTAGCCATGGCGCCGGTACCTGACAGCTCGGTATGGTGCACGGATCATCCGACACCATACCACATTATCCATAGCGTGAGCTACCCTTCCAGCAGGCGTGACATGGTAACTAGATTCCCACATCATCTTTCCTTATATCATATCTATCCACAACTCTGGAACCTACGAGTACGGTATGATATAATATCACCATTACGATGGGAGGAAGAGTGACCCTTTGACCTTGAGCTCGGTGGCATGGGGAAGCTGTGCAAGGACTGTCACCATTTTTTTCTTCTTTAGATAGTATGGGTTGCACTTGGAGGTATGCCTAATAATGTCACTTGTATAAACCATTGTCACATCTTCCGTCAAGTTATTTCGATATTTGGCGGACAGGCTTTAATTTCAAAAATTAGCTGGGCGGGAGATTTTTTGACTGCACGGGACAATGATTAATTTGCGATTTCTAAGAAGTTCAGGGTCTTGGGGACATGGTTCTGATTCGTGCTGCCATGAGGTTTTCTTGAGTCACCTCAGACCGCAAGCTCAATGAAATGGAGAAACTCGAGCTCCACTCCCTTCTCCTGAATTATTTCTTGGTGTATTGGGTTTGCTCTCGTAGGGTATTATAATAGGGATCACGGGGCTAGACTATGTCATACCTTCCCTTTCTTGAGCGCTGATAACACGGTATCATTAATAAATTTTCGTCCAAATTCCCCTGGTCTTTGGGCCTCATACATACACTATCCTTCTCCTAGGATCTGAGGCTACGAGGTTTGGGGAGTTTTTTTTTTGCCTCGGATCTATGTCTTTGGGTTCGTGAGTGCCTCTGCCGGGGATTCTTTGCACTGCTCTATTACCACCTCCCTCCGCGCCGGCCGTGGCGACTCATTTTTCATTTTTTCAACACTCACATCTAGTCTTTATGCAGCCACCCTTGAGGCCACGACTTGTCCCTATGGAGGGCAGGTAAACAAGCTTAGGTTGCTCGCCTGGATAAATCATGAAATTCTTGAACACTATTTCTGGGTTGCTGTCCACAGACCCCCCCCAGCACCTGGACTAGTGAAAGTTTTATTATATCCCACGGACATCTTCGCAGTCAATACTGTTTGGATATTTGGCTAATACTTTCTCTGTAGCTCTGCCTCAAAAGGAATCAATTGGGCTTCTAATAGAAGCTTTTTTCTAAGCATCACCTGGTGACGCTAGGGGGGGGGCACAAGTGTAGTGAAAGCGCCAACACCTTGATTTGCTTGTTATACTGTACTGACCACCTCTAGCGTGGTGCTTTGTCTCTTGTTTATTTTTGATTTTGTAATGACAGTTTCTCAACCACAGCAGCTTTCAAAATGTGTGGGGATTGATAACACTAGCAAAGTTGAAAGGGTGATTTCGGGGAAGGCCGAAAGATCCTTGAAGCACCGATTAGTCCCTGGTTTCAAAACTCACGGGCATGCGCTGTAGGGAAGTTCTTTGTATTTGGATAAGTGTTATGGTTTCATTAGGAGACCCATATACAAAAAAGGGGTTACCCAGGTTCTGAATATCTGTCGGGTTAAAGCAAAAGAGCATCGGAAGGCTCTATAGCACAGTGAAAATCACCACGAAATAACTAGTCTCTGTTTCCCAAGATCGAGTCTAATCAATCAGTGTGGGTCTCGGAGTGTTTCTCAGTGGAAATATACCTAATAAAGAGTTTGGTGGTTATTGGGATATGGGGGCCGAGCTTGCTGTTATCGAGGGGTATCTCTATCACTTAGCTGGTACCTTTACCCCCCCACTCTAGTTCTGCTTGTAATGGCTGCTTATTTACCGACAGTGAAAGTTATGGAATCAGCCAGATCGAAAGGTCCTTGTGTTGCCAGGTTCTGCCACCACAATCCCACATGATGGCTTTGCCAGGCCAGAGCAAGGACTTGACACCCTGGCAGTCTTGTAGTCTAGAACTGAGTTGCTGCGGACGCGCTTGGCTCTTATATTAGCCCAGGATTAGTGTTCAACGCGGGGACTCCTGGAAAGAAAATAGGTATCGTACTCTTCCCAACTGGTTTCACATCTTGCTTCTGGTGGGACTGACGAATTGGGGGATGTTTCTAATTTGGAACATGAGTTTGGAGATATAGCGATTGTTGTGAAAGGTAGGATATCTTGACTTTATCTGTGATTTCCTGAAGGGCTACGAGGTAACGGCGGGGATAGTGGAGTCAATATTTCTAGCAATTTTCGAGCCTAGGAGGTTGTGTGGATCTTGTATTCATAAAATATCACTCGGAATGCAAACAAGTTGATTAAAACCAAGGGATTGTTCTGGTGTAAATCTCGCTCATGGGGTAGAGAGGGCGGCATCCGGCGGTGTGCAGTGTTTGAGATGTGTTTCTTTCTTCCTGTGATTTTCATGCTAGTCAGGTTCGAGTTTCCTCAGGTGTCTGAGCATTCAAGATACCCCTACATTGGTGTTTGTACCTCAGTCCGTGAATCCTTGTCAATAGCTCTTGATGAGAGTGGGGGTAAGCTGGGCCTAGCAGTTGCCGCACCGCTGTACGCGGTTTAATGGTTTCCTAGCAGTGAGGTCAGGCGCACCAACGCTATCAACTCTACGAGTAGAGCGCTCAATATAAGGGGAAACTAGCCTGCGTCTAGCTGGATATTTTTCAGGTTCTCAGCGTAGCTGGTGTTCCACTGAACTGGCCAGTTCGATGTTTTGACCTTCTTGCAGTGTCAGTTTAGCACTGAAAATCATGTATTGGTATTTATCAAAGGGAGGGAGGCAAGGCACCCTCACCATAACGAGGAATTGACGTGTCTTGGGGAGTCAAATGAAGAATGACCTTTATTAAATTAAAAACCGGTATAGCTGGCATCGGGTCCGTCAAGCTATTGCGTTCTGGGTATTACCGATTGGATTTTGTTTTCCTCTGGCGCTGTTTATTATTTTCGTCACTCGCAGCATGGCGGGCTTATTATGCAACAGGGTTAGGGTTAGCAGCTTGCATGCCGTTATATTCGGCGACGAGGGCAAGGGGATCACCTCCAACTTTGACCACGCGTGATTTATCGCCAATCCCCCCACCATCGCCAAATAATCCATCGGATCCTCATCTTCACCCCGAAATACCGTATCTTGCCCTCAATAATAATAGACCGTCAGGATGTCTGGTTTGTTTACTCGATTTGCTTGATGCGCGAATAGTGGGGGAGCTATGGAGGGGCACCCGAATGCTAACTGACGAAATTACAGGGAGCGCTGGATTTGATCGACACATTACTATCTTCTCGGATCAAGGGAGGTTATATCAAGTTGGTCAGTTATCCCGGGGCTACGGTTTGATGCGCGAGGAGGTTATCGGATGGCGTGGGGGATGTGGGGTTGAGCCTCCGAATGCTGATTGATTTGATAGAGTATGCGTTCAAGGCTATAACAGCAGCGAACATTACCTCGATTGGTATTAGAGGAAAAGATTGTGCGGTTGTGATTTCTCAGAAGAAAGTTCCTGTACGTTTTACAAATGGGTTTCTCTTGAGGATGGAGAGTGCTGTGCTCATGGTTGTGCAGGACAAGCTTCTTGACCCCTCTTCCGTTACATACGTCTTCCAGTTATCTCCCTCTGTTGGCTGCGTCATGACTGGGTCTATTGCCGACGCTCGTGCTGCGGTTTCTCGTGCTCGTGGAGAGGCGGCAGAGTTTAGATACAAGTACGGCTATGAGATGCCTTGTGATGTTCTTTCGAAGAGGCTGGCGAATATCAACCAAGTCTACACTCAACGTGTACGCCCCCTTGGCTCTTCCGGTGTTTGTTCAATACTAACTCTGCTCCAGGCTTACATGCGCCCGTTGGGAGTTTCCATGACCCTCATATCCGTCGACGATGAGATGGGTCCTCAGCTCTACAAAACCGATCCGGCTGGCTATTATGTCGGTTACAGAGCCACTTCCTCGGGCCCCAAGCAACAGGAAGCCCTCAACCATCTCGAAAAGAAGCTCAAGAATAAGGATTACGCTCCCGGTGATTGGAAGGAGGTCGTGGAAACAGGAATCTCGGCCCTGAGCTCTGTTCTAAGTGTCGATTTTAAGAGTGGGGAGGTCGAGGTCGGCGTCGTTGGTGCGGATGGGAAACCTGGGTTCAGGAAATTGACTCAGGAGGAAATTGAGGAGAGGCTGCAGAGCATCGCAGACAAGGACTAGGTGGAATATCCCGGATGGGGCTGATCTCCTGTTACGCTGAATGAATGGTTAGCGGTTCCCGCCATAATTAATGTGAACATGGAGTGACAAATTTGAGGATGCGGGTGCTGGTGGCGGTTGTGAGGGGCGAATATCTTGAAAGGCAACTGTCGTGACCTTTCAACCACCTGCGCCCATCACACGGTCGATTTTGCTTAATAGCTTGGGCTTGCAGAATAGAAAATTGGTATTTAAGATGTCAAAATATTTTATTTGCAAGTAGATGTCATAAGCCTTTATATGGATTCCTGAGCTGCTGCATTGGATGTCTTGATACTCAGACGAAAAAGGACTGCAGTCGGTGCTTCTCTCAATACTGAGTGATTGCACCCTGAAGCAATTGGGTTTTTTCTTTCAGAAAAAAGAGGAAAGGGAACTGTTCGGATGAGTGCCATGAACTTACCGTCGGGAGCACTGCCGGTCCATCACACAAGCTACAGCCATCACGAGCCTCCATAATAATATTACCAGGTATGCTAACGCAGATCAAAGCTGGTTAGGGTGTGATCCAACCTTCCTGATAATATTCTTTGACATTATTTAAATTCCTATGAGATCTTGCCCCGCCTGCAATAGGGCCTCCCGTATGCTAGGAACGTGCCTCTACCAGAGATCGATAATTATTATTATTTTCCTATCATATTATCTATCAATACTTGGTCAATAATTTTTCCTTCGACTTCATAGACTACTGGTATCCTAATTGGACCTCATGGATAGGCGGCCCTAGGTCTTGGCATTTTGAACAGTCAATGTTACCCACCAAACCTGAGAGAACCTCAACACAACTGCAACCGCAACGCATTCGATTCCCCAGCGCCAACGCAAAGCTCATTTACCTTCGCCATCTCCACCTCTACCTCCACAATATAATACAAACCACCTGGCAACAACAATAGCGACCATTGTCCCTCTATTACACCCAAGAAGGAGATGGCAAAGGGAAAGAAAGGAAAGAAGGCCCACGACGATTCGTGGGAAGACGACATAGATACTCAGCCTCCTGTCGACCCCATAGCAGCCGCCACCGCCGCGGATAGCAAACCTGCAGCGGCTGAGGACGATGACTTCGGAGGCGGGGGCTTAATGGCCGCAATCAAGAAGAACCGAGACAACAAGAAAAAGAAGGGCAAGGCCGTCAGGCCACTTAATGACGAGGTTACAGAAGATGGCGATGATGCTGCTACACCTCCAGTCGAAGCCAAGGCTCCGACTGAGGTTACGGAGATTGGAGAGGATGATTTTGGCCCTGTAAAGAAGGGTGAAAAGAAGGGGAAGGGTACTCCCGCGGCAGTTGCACCTACGGAAAAGACGGAGGAACTGGGAGAGGACGAGGTCCGGGGCGCAGACGGAGAGGTTAGGGTTAAGACTAAGAAGGAAAAGGAAAAGGAAAAGAAGGAGAGAGAGAAGCAGCGGAAGAAAGAACAGGTTTGGTTTTACACTTCTTATTTGTTTAATACTTTTGCAGTGGTTAATTATATTGTAGGCTGCGAGGAAGAAGCAGACTGAACCGGCCAAAGCGGAGGAAAAGAAGGAAGAAGTAGCTGCAGAAACGATGGCCCCATCAGCTGCTGCGCCAGAGCCTACTGGTGGGAAAAAGAAGAAAATCCCTGCTGCTTTGGCGGCGATACAGAAACAGCAGGAGTTGAGACGAAAGCAAGAAGAAGAGGCAGCTAGAATCGCGGCGGAGGAGAGGGAGCGAGAGGAAGAATTGGAGCGAATTCGCCAAGAAGAGGAACGAGCGAAGGCTGAAGCTAAGGAGAAGAAGAAGGAGAAGGAGAAGGAACGAATCGAGAGATTGAAGAAGGAAGGCAAATACATGACCAAGGCTGAAAAGGAAAGACAGCGAACTGCGCAATTGAGACTTCAGCAAATGGTGGAATCGGGTATGGTGGTAGAGGGTCTTGGGGGTGGTCCTGTGACAGAAAAGAAGAAACCCAAGTATGACAAGAAGCCCAGGAAGGGGGATAGTGGTAAGTCAAAGGTTGAAGACGATGAAGAAAAGAAGAGGGAGGAAGAAAGGCTACTTGTCGAGAAGAAGGCAAAGGAGGAAGAGGAGCAGAGGAAGAAGGAGGCTGAAGAAGGTAAATTCCTTGAACGTGTCTTTTAATGTTCCAGTGTTAATACTTAGGTAGCTGCTGCCGCCGCCACCAAGAAAGAAGAGGAAGATGTGCTTGACAGCTGGGAAGAGGCATTTGACCAGGATGGCAACATCAAGGAATCTTGGGACATGAGCTCTGAGGAGGAAGAGGGTGAAGCCCCCAAGAAACCATGTAGGACCCCTTGTGAATTTGTCACTTGATTATGGGAGCTTGCTTACGCTTCTCAGCAAACGGAGCCAAAGCCGCTCCTCCAAAGGGTGGAAAGGGACCTTCAAAGAAGTCGCCTGACGCTGGCGAGGAAGAGGATAGTGATGACAGCGATGAAGGGGTTGTCGATGCATCAGTAGCAAAGCGTCTTGCAGAGCAGAGGAAACAGGAGCAACTCGCACGTCGGCAAAAACAGATTGACGAAGCAAAGGCGGCTGCTTCAGTTGAAAATCTACGCTCCCCTATCTGCTGTATTCTCGGTCATGTTGACACTGGTAAAACTAAGCTTCTGGACAAGATTCGGCAAACCAATGTACAGGAGGGCGAAGCTGGTGGTATTACTCAACAGATTGGTGCCACTTACTTCCCTATGGACGCTATTAAGCAAAAGACTGCTGTGGTGAACAGGGTACGTCTGTTCTCTCTAGAAATTGGTAGAACGGAACTAACATCTTCAGGACGGCAAAATGGAATATAAAGTGCCCGGCCTTTTGGTCATTGATACACCGGGGCACGAATCTTTCACTAATCTTCGGTCAAGAGGGTCTTCGCTGTGTAACATTGCAATTTTGGTTGTCGATATCATGCACGGGCTGGAGCCTCAGACCATCGAGTCCCTTAACCTCCTTCGAGACCGAAAGACGCCCTTCATTGTGGCGTTGAACAAGATTGATCGTTTGTACGACTGGAAAGCTATTCCTAATAACGGGTTCCAGGATTCTCTGGCGAAGCAGAAGAAACCTGTTCAGAACGAATTTAAGGATCGTCTCGAGAAGACCATCGTTGCTTTTCAGGAAAACGGCCTCAATGCAGCACTCTTTTACGAGAATAAGAACATGGGCAAATTTGTCTCCTTTGTGCCGACCTCCGCCCATACGGGGGAGGGCATTCCGGATATGTTGAAGCTTCTTGTCACTCTAACACAGCAACGCATGGCCGAGAAGTTGATGTACCTTTCCGAACTTGAGTGTACCGTTTTGGAGGTCAAGGTTATTGAAGGGTTGGGAACGACGATCGATGTTATCCTGTCCAACGGTGTGCTGCGGGAGGGTGACCGGATAGTTATGTGCGGACTTAACGGAGCTATATCAACCAATATCCGAGCCCTGCTCACCCCACAACCATTAAAGGAATTGCGTATCAAGTCGCAATATGTCCACCACAAAGAAGTCAAGGCAGCTTTGGGAGTGAAGATTGCAGCCAACGACCTTGAACATGCTATTGCCGGTTCTCGGTTACTCGTTGTCGGCCCCGATGACGACGAAGAAGATTTAGAAATGGAAGTCATGAGCGATCTTGAGCAACTCTTCAGCAAGGTTTCGACATCGGGTGCAGGTGTCGCTGTACAAGCCTCTACCCTGGGGTCGCTGGAAGCCTTACTCGCGTTCTTGAAGTCCAGCTCGATTCCGGTCTCCACTATATCCATTGGCCCCGTTTACAAACGTGACGTTATGCGGGCTGGGACAATGTTGGAGAAGCACAAAGAGTAAGATTTCTCTCTTCACCCACTAATATTTCTGCCTAGGCGGTGCAACTAACGTTTACCAGGTATGCGGTAATGCTCTGCTTCGATGTTAAGGTCGACAAAGAAGCTCAAGCATATGCCGATGAAGTTGGAGTGAAGCTTTTTACTGCGGAGATTATCTATCACTTGTTCGACGCCTTTTCAGAATACAAAAAGGTTCCACCCATTGCACTTTCGCCAGGAATTAAATGGCTCTGCTGACATTATCGAAAAGGAAATGTCTGAGCAAAAAAAGCGAGAATCTGCCGCAAACGCCGTCTTCCCATGCATCCTTAACCCTGTTGCCGTTTTCAACAAGAAAGATCCCATCGTCGTTGGTGTTGATGTCGTCGAGGGTAGTCTTCGTGTCGGAACACCTATTGCGGCAGTAAAGAAGAATCCCGTGACCGGTGAAATGGAAACAATTTCTCTAGGCAGAGTGTATAACCCACCTCCTTCCTTCCTCCCCATCTCATGCTAACGGCAGTAAAACACAGTACAAGCATTGAACTAAACCATAAAGCCATCCAAATCTGCAAAAAGGGCCAACCATCTGTAGCGGTCAAAATTGAGGGACCTAACCAACCCCTATACGGAAGACAATTGGAAGAGAAGGACACTCTCTACTCACTGATTTCCAGAGTCACCATTGATACGCTCAAAACTCACTTTAGAGAGGAAGTCCCGAAGGAGGATTGGCAGCTTATTATTAACCTTAAAAAGGTTTTCAATATTTTATAAGGCACATTTGCAGGTTGCTTTCCTAGATTTTCGAGCCTCTTTTTATCCTTTTTTACCTATTTACTTTGTTCAGCATTATCTTTGAACGGGGGGGGGGCGGTGCTGGCAGTAGCGGTTCTCCATATTTCATTTTGTGCTAGTAACAAAAGTCGCGGAATTCGCGTCCTTTTTTTTCTCTCCTCTTCCGCTCTGTCCTTTCTTTTGTCTCTTTGTTCTCGTTTGGTATGATATACTTGATCCCCTTCCTTTCCCCATTGATACTCTCCCCTTCGCTGAAGGGTGTAAATACTTGCCCGGTGGTTAGAGTTTGTCGAAAATTGGAAGTTGGTATTGTATCGGCTTTGCTGAATGCCCGCGCAGCTACCCGGCAGAAGTGTTCATGATCCGAAACAAGTTTACCTGCGGTTGTGCAACTAGCCAAGGTAGGGTATGATATTGTACTCGAGATATAACCGGTATGATACTCGAGTACCTGTGGTGGGTTGGCCCCACCGCCGCCGGCCAATGGTCGACAGCCAACGGCTAACGAGCGCAAATGGGGGAGAGAAAAAAAAATCGCATGTAGATCACCAAAAAACGTGAGAACAAAGATATCAGCTTATAGCTAATACTTGGTGCGATCTCCCTTCGCCTTTAGAAGCGCAGCCATTCCACTCGAACCGGGTATCGATTCCCACAATCCTCAAAAACAAAAACAACGGTAATTTAATAGTCTCCAATGCCCAACCGCCGATCCAATCGCTTTCATCACAATCCCAACCCCACAGTTCCAATAATATGTATCATAGATCAGGGGGTACCGGTATGCTTCACCACACTAGGGCTATCGGTATCAGGCTACTCCAATATTATTATGATATAATATCATAGCTCTGTGGAGCAGTGCGCTGCGCTGTCTTGCTGGAAAGTGGTCCTGAAATAGCGCGAGCTACTATCATCTGATGAATGTTAATGATTCCTTTTTTGTTGTGATATTTTTGTTTGTTTGTTTATTTATGCTCAGGCGCGTACTGTATCATACCTGGCTGGTTGGCACCTCTTGGTCAAGTATCATACCTACGAAGGAGGGCGCGGAGGGATTCCATCACTTACATTACATTTGGCGGAAAACAGCACCGACCTCAATCCCAGGAGATGCCGTTCCGGTGTGATATCGTAAGGCTGCAAGAACGAAGAATGTGAATAATTATTGTACCTACGGCTCCCCCCCCCCCAGGAAGGAAGGGAAACCACCGCAGGTTTTGTTATAATATCTCTAGTACCTCCTTACAGTGCACTATATACATAATCTCGACTACCGATATGTGAATAAACAAGATTCCCCTCCCACTTCTCCCTCCTTCCCTCCCTCCTTCCAATCAGAACGTGTCCAGCGTTGATCATTGTTTATCACTCGCCTTGCTCGGTCAAGTACAGTGGAATTTGCGCGGGTAATCACTTATATTTGATGGACTGGGAGGGTTTCGCGCGCTGCGGGCGGTGTGCTCTTATGATATAATCCAGCCCACGGGATGAACGAATTTCTGTGGATCGGGGGATGACTGGTTCCCCGTGGTGGGAGATCACTGAGAAGGTGAATATCGGGGGTGGCCTAGCCGGGCACGTGTCCGGACGGGACGGGACGGGATGAGTAGGAAAGAGCTTGTTGTCTGAAGTCTTACTCAGACCGGGTTTGCCGGGGGATGTACAGCAGTCCCTTTGCAGACAGAACCTGCGCTGGTCTCTTGTGGAATAAGGTGTTTGAGATCGGCTCGTGGACGGCCCGGCGGGGCGGGGGATCTGGGGGTGGAGTCGAAGAGGGTTTTGCGGGTGAGTTTGTGTGATACTCCCGTTCATTCATGACCTGTCTTTGTTGTGTTTCTCGAGTTTCAATACAGTGTAGGAGGTCAATATATATATATATATCATGCTCCACTTGTGGTTCGTGAACTGGACCCGTTGATATGTTTCGGCCAGAGGAGGTGCGCAATCCGCATGGTTGGTTTTCGGCCAGCTGGATAACCTCAGAGTGGTAGCGATAGTGCAGCGCTGGTACAGTATCATACCGCTGTCGGCTTCACGATCCTAGTGTCGCTGGGAAGGTTAAGCACTATGGGGCGGAAACAAAATCTACAAGTCAGTGTGGGGGGTCACAGCCAACGTTCGAAGGTGGTTCAGACAGGCTAGGGAGGTATCTGGGTATGGTGGTCTAGAGCACGAGTGCTCATACAAATTTCCTGTAGGAATCCACGTCTCCCATCGGCGCGGACGCTCTAGCATAGGTTACTATAACAAATTGTGCCGCACGAGTACAAGGTCAGGCATAAAATGTTAGTACGGGGTAAGGGTGTTGATGTTGATTTTAGCCAAAATTAGTGATATAGCGCGCCCCAAGCAGCCGTCTGAGAACACAATCCTTCCATTGCTCAACAAGAGCTTAGAGAGGGTTATCCCCTTTTTTCTTTTTCGATAGACATTGTATTAGAGGCCAGGCACCTGATCCACCAATTATATCTATTCAAAGTTGACTGAGAACAGGAGGAAATAGAGTTGCTCTCAGAGCCATGTTTCCCTGGGGTGCCACTGCTGCCGAAATTTCAGCTGTGCACCGTACAATTATTTTATGCCTGACCCCTTGACCCTAGTTCCCAGATGTGTCGTGCTGGCGGCAGCCTAAATCCGGCCGCAAGCAAACATCACTTCAAAAGGTCCCAACGAGACAAGACACTAAGTGAGGGGGGGTAACCCACAAGAGAACCACAATGCGCTTCCTCCATCTCCCAAACGAGTTAATCCCAGAGATAGCCGAACATCCGGGCCCTCGCCTGGCGATCCTTTTAGGCCCCTCATTGGCAGGCCACGCTTGCAGCCCCAATCACTTCAAAGACTGTGGAGCGACAGTAATAAGTTTCTCTGTGAGCCTCGAGGCCAAAGACACAGCCCGACGAATACTTGGTACGGGCCTGCGCATACGAACCGTGGCTGCACACACCCCACCACTAGACGTGATCCACGCCAGGACTACAGTACCGCTATCCAGGCGCCACCCGAGTACGGGGTTGAACCCGCAAGGCACAGTGACATGGTGGCCTGGCAGGCGGTGGCCATGGGGTCCAGCGAAGGCGGTCGAGTTATCGCTTGATTGGAGGGAGGGTACGACGGGAAGACAATCCCACCACTTATTGTCTCGGTGAATAGTCGTAAGCGAAGTGCCAAAGTCTTGAGGGTTCTGGGTTACTGAATCATCCGGGGATCGACCGGGAAATGATCGGTGAGGAGTAGCACATCGTCCACAGAGCAGTCCCCAAGCTGGGTGAGGAACTCTTATTATACGGGTGCTGCTCACGAATGGAATATTTGATGAGACTTTACTTCTCCATTGTCTGCTGCGGTCCTAGAAGGTTTGGAAGGGGGCGTTCAACCTTTTCTAGATGAACCCCGGCCCGGTGTTGGCATGACGGTACGAAATGAAGCGTCGGAGAGGGACCACGATGATGTGGTCGGGCTTCTACTCAAGGATGGTATATCCGACGTTAATGAAACGGACGCCGGTGGTTGCATCCCGCCGCTTCTAACGGCGGAGGATAGGGCGGTTTCTACTGTTAGAGCTCTCCGGAGCATGAGACTGTTGATGTCAACCTGCCCAACTCCGCCGGCAACGCTCCCTTACACGGAATAGCGCTTGGAAGGATGCCTGAAATTACAACGATGCTTTTGGGGCCAGAAGACACTACACGTATGGAGAGAGCGGAGTAGTAGGAGTGTGAAATAGAGGCTACGCTCGAAACCTTGTCTAATCCCGCGCTTACTTAGCGGCCTCGCGTGTCTCGGGCTGCTCATCAAGCCTTCCAATAGTCCGGTCAGACTAACCCGGGTTCTCTGTTGGTTGGGTCGGGTTCGGGCGGGCTCAGCCCGGGTTACCCAACGAACCCGACAAATCTTTCCAGCTTGTTTTTACAGCTCGAAGGACGCTCCGCTGGAGCATCATCGATATTTTACAATTTTAGCAGCCTTGGGCAGCACGATATCGGATCCACGAACAATCTCCCCCCACCTAGTACTGTGCCCCATAATCGCAACTTTCTTTACCACTCCACAATCGCCGGTTTTCGAATCATCCAATTGATCAAGGGCAGCTACGATACTTTCCTCAGGTATGATATCATACCAGCAGCGTTCTGTCAAGTCCACCATCCATCCTTCAAACCTCCAGTCGAACTCTAGCTTTACGAATGCGACCGCGAGGACACCCCAAACCCCGATCGTGCAAGGGTATACCAATTGAAACCTAAATATTTCATTGCTGCCAAACGCAACCCGAAAATGAAAAATCCACCTTATCACCACGAGCGCGGGGACCACCAGAGTATGCGATGGTAAACGATCCATAGGTCTCTGATCCGGAAAAAGCAATGAATTTTTAAAGTACTAAACATTGCCTCCTACACTTGGTCACTGCCATGCCTAAAAAGTAGGCGACCTCCACAAAAACACCCTAGCCCCAAGCGCCAATGATCCAGCAACCTACTTACCACCTATTCATTCAATCCGTTAGAAGCACCTATCATTCAAGCCCCATGAAGCAATCCGAAGTCCATGAAGGTATTATCTCACCAGTTGCCGAATCAAGGATGCTAACCGGGGCCGTCACAGAGATAGAGACGTATACCGGTATTGTACGGTACATAGTAAAACTGACACTAAACTTCCTCTATCATGCTCATTCCTGGGCCATCAATTAAGCCACGTTGACCCTATCCATTCCTCCCATTTCTATCCCAGACCCAAGGTAAGAGGCAATTGCCAATTCATTTCCCACGCAAACCAAAACGGGTACGTGCCAACCCCGGCCCATCCATCAGAATTCTAGCAGCTACCTCCAAGGCCCTAGTCCAAACTAACCTAGAATAACCTCCACAGAGCAGTCCTAGTACTATACATATCACACCGCCCCCAACCCGAATCGGGAGCATCATTCATCTATCCCAAAGCCATGAAATGAGAGATTTATCATAATCAACAGGGTAAGTGATGGAGACCAAAATAAGCTTAAACCAACAAAACCCCATCTCCCCATGCTAAAAAGCTCCTTGCGAGTGACGATCCATGATCAACTACTCACAACCACTTACAACCTCGCGTTTCACACCACTGACGTCCGGAGAATTACGATATAAATAAATAAGCACGACTCGCACAATTGAGGTATCATGTCACCATCGTGCAGCCACGGTGGGCGGCACTGCTAAAACAGATTCGCAACGGCCTGTCGGTTTCCCAAAGGGGATTTTCCGTGACCGCGGTCGAGCATACATTAACCTGCGGTGTTTTTTTTTTTCTTTCCGAATCGGAGATATGGGTCCCATACCATCTTCCAGCTCACTACCCCACTTGGCGAGGTAAGAGGATTAATTAGATTGGGTGATCATCATGACGAGACCGATGCCGGGAAAGGGATACGATACCGGTATTTGCACGCACGATACCGGTGTGGGTCACGACGATACTTCACCATGCCATATCCGACGTTAACACTTCAGAACCCTAGGATAACCCACGAAAAAGCATACAAGCCTATTTTTACCCCCAAAGTAATGTATAAAATCCCCCGAGTTCCCTCAATCTCTCAACCAGAGAAACAGCAAGTACGATCATACGAATCCATTTCCCGCTTCCTCCCCCCAAAAGAAAATCCGAAAAAGCCAAAATGCTTATTTCACACCGTGCCCTCCTCCTCCTCTTCCTCCCCTGCCTGGCCCTAACGCGAGCGGTCCTCCCCAGAGACCCTCCCACAACCCTCACCCCCTCATTGTGCCACTGCCCCGAAACGCAGGTACAAGCCACGGGAACAGCCCCCTACCCCGTGCTGGACCCCAGCCAAGTCCCCGGCCTAGAAAAGAGGGAATGGAAGGGACTCAAGTCACTCAAATACTACACCCCCTGCGCCATTTGCAAAAAGCTGAGGAAGCAGATCAAGCAGAAGAAGCAGGAGAGGAAGCTGAAGAAAGAGAAGAAGAAGGAGATGAAGAAATTGAAGAAGGAGCTGGCTGATGGCACCATCACGATGGAAGCTCCCAACCCCATCGATGGTGCGCCACTCCGCGAGAGGTCCTGGTGGAAGGTGAAGGTGGAAAAGAGGGGCATTGAGCCCGGATCCGACCTCGACGACGACGACTCGTATCCGGAAGCATTGGAAGATGAGGCGGAGGAGGCCCAACCCACTACTTTACCCACCATCGCGGAGGCGGCTGAGTGAGCTTCGGGAAAATCGTGGGGAGGGGGGGCTAGATGGTGGATAGATTGACGGAATCTCCAGAAATGGTATTTGCGTTGTACCATACCGTGGAATGATCCTTTTATCCTATTTTATTCTTTTTCCTTCTGTTTTCCTTTTTTGTTTTCCTCCCAAAAAATGAGAAGAAAAGAAAAAAAAAGAAAAGGTGGGATTACGGAGTGAGTGAGCGAGCTTTGGGCAAAATCGGGGCGACCGGATAGTGGATAACTTGACCGACGGAACCTTGGAAATTGTTGTTGTACCATACGAATACTTTGGAATGTTTGTTTGTTTTTTCTCGTTGCTTTTTCGTTCTCTATTTTTCCTCCTTTCCTAAAAAAAAATGAGTAGTTAAATAGATACAAAAAAAAATATTCGTTTTCAAGCATAAATAACTAAATAGGATTATCGAGTGAGTGACTGTGACTGTGCTTCCCCCCCACCCCCAGTGGAATTAGAGTTTGCTGTACCTCATCATCATAGTACTCGTACATGTATCGACCGGGAATAGATTCCCATCCATATTATAATGCGATACGATATCAGACTATGATGGACCACCGTCATACCCGTGGCGAAAGCGGATAAACTGGCGAGGGTGGGATAACTTGACTGACTGATTGTCATATCGTAGGGTTACCGGCACTGTACTTAAGTGCGGGATCACCATAATCGTCGCATCATATCGAGGTTTTTGTCGCATCGTACATCTGTTTGGATACGCAGATAAAGTTTAAAGTTTAGAGAGGGAAAAAAATAGAAGAGAAAAGAAGAGAAGTGAAGAGGAGTCCACATATGTAAGTTAGTTATGCCATATACTCTAGTACAGTACGTTAATCCCCACAAGGTCAAGGTAAAGTGATAATTATAGTAAATCGCCGTAAACCCACCATTCCTTTCTCCAGCCGGTATGATGGGAGCAAAGAGGAAAAAAAAAAAAAAAAAAAAAAACGACACCATGATATGATACCTTGTATTATAATAATATGATATATATACACTAGCAAAATCAAGCATAGTACTACCTTCCCTTCCCTTCCCTTCCGGCAATGATATTAGTACACTTTCCATCCATGATATCCATCTGTCCGTCCAATCCCGTTGATTAATAAAGAAATGAAAAAGAAGAAAAATGAAAAAAGCCCCACTTTTTTATGTTCGGTAGGTATGATATCAAGACGTCAAGGTAATCATCTAACTACAAAGAGAGGTGCTCGATCAATCATCATCATCCTCAACATCCATCTCCTCCCCTTCGTCTACGCTCGTTAGTCTCATTCCCAACAATTTAAAGCAAGCAAGGAAGGAAGGAAGAAAGGAAGCAAACTCACCACTCTCCTCATCCCTCTGCCTCTTAACCCCCGCTGCCGCCCCCGCAGGAGCAGCAGGAGGAGCTGGAGGTGGTGGATGGACACTAGGCGCACCCGGCAGCTCCGCAAAAGGTACCTTCTCCCCCTCCCCCACGCCCCCCCCTCCCCCTCCCCCTGGCGCAACCATACTATACGTCCCATCCAGTTTCGAAATTGCATGCGATTTACCCTTCGCGTAGGATATCCTCTACAACAAAAAACGCCCCAATCAGTGACTGACCAACTAACCACCGCCGAACTTCGAGAAGAGAGAGGGGGGGGCACAATACCATCTCCTTCCCGAAGAATTCGAACCCCTGCAGCGCACGCATCGCCTGCGTCGCTGCCGCCACGTCTCTAAAGATGATGTGCGCCTGCCCGCGGCTCTTCATTGTCTTGAGCGCGTTCACATCCAGCACTACGCCATAGGTGGAGAAAAGGGTGTACAGCTCTGTGCGCAGGTCCGGTTTGCGGATTTTGTCATTGAGGTTTTGGAGGTAGAGGGTTTGGTTCGGGGGGAGTGGGGGGATGGTGGTAGAAGAATTGTGGGGGGGTTTTGATGTCATTGCTGGTTGCTGGTTGGTCTAGGTGGGGGCGGTGGTGGAATTGAGTTGTTGGTTTGGTTCGCTAGTCCTGCGGTAGATGGAGGATGGTGGTCGGCACGGTGGAGATAGTAAATGGTAGCGGTGGTGGGGTGGGGGAGGTTACTGGCTTTGAGTCGTGCAATTCTGTGTTTGAGGGAACATTAACTTGCTAGGGCTTTAGGATTACCCGGCTGTAAGGACACACAAGGTCACTCGTTCGGCAATCGGAATGAGTGTTTTCACCCCCGAAACTTGCACGGGTCATCCCACTTGCGCTCTGCAACTTTGCTGAAATGGTAACTTGACCACAATATTTCCAATTGTCATAATGACCACCATACAGTGCAGTAGATTAACCCCACCATCTCTCTTGCTCCCGACTCGATATAGCCAGCCAGACCCCACCCATCAATTAAGTTACAGCCCGCTTAGCTAACCGGACGCCATTGCTTCACCCGCTCACTGCACCACACTGCCCACTATATAGCAATAATATACCCCCCCTATTCATTATCCCCTTATCACCCTCCGGAAATCCATTCGAAATTCCTGTGCCCATCGATCGAATCGACAGCAAGGGAGGAGGAGAAAAAAAAAGAAGGAAAAACTTCCACAATTACAAAAAAGCTAAGGTATCTCCAAAACAATTTCTCCCACCGAGCCCCAACAAAAGAAAGTGAAATGAAAAAAAAGATGAAAGTGAAAAACGAAAACATGGACAGAAAAACGACGCAAAAGCGGTATATATAGCACATCAAACTACCAAGAAAAACTCCAAGCAACCCCGCACCAAGACAAAATACTCTTCCCTCATCAAAACTACTGCCTGAAGGATAAACTTGCAAAAGCGTCGGGACTGTGTCGTCCACTCTGCCATGCCCCAAAATCCACACTTTCCTGACTCATGTGGCCTCGACCACCGCCGACACCACCTACTAGGGGGGCAGATGGGAGGAACGGGTTGTTACTACCCACCCCATTGGTCACTGGTGCCGAGACTGCACCTCCGCTGACGAACCTGGTGGCCAGATTCTGGGGGGCGTTAGAGACAGGAACCTGGCTCTCCTGCTGCTGTTGCTGGGCGGGATTGCCATTAGGCGGAGGAGCCAGCTGAGGGTAATTGTATAGCGCCAAAATTGAGGATTTATCAATGACAGCGCGTTGGGGCATCAGCGATTGTTGTGCTTGGAGGTTAGATTGGTACGGGTTCATTTGAGGTTGTTGAGGGTACGAGAGCGTGGCGGAGGTGGGTGGCCACTGCTGTGAGTTGTAGGGGGCTTGTTGCTGTTGGAACTGAGCTTGCGCTTGAGCCTGCACCTGAGCCTGGACTTGTTGCTGAGCTTGTTGTTGGATCTGCTGTTGAGCTTGCTGTTGCTGTAATTGCTGTTGCCGTAACTGCTCTTGCTGCTGTTGAGTCTGCTGTAGCTGCAGATAAGGATTCTGCGGGGCCGGCTGTACCGGAGGATTATACGGCTTCTGCATCGGTGGAGCCGAATTACTCAAAAAGGGATTATAACCGCCAATTCCCCCATTCATGTTTACAGAACCGGCAGTCGCCGGTGTAGGAGAGAACGCAGTGCCAGCAGTAAAGCTGGTGTAGGGATTCGTCTGCGGAGCTTGCATCTGCTGTTGTGGCTGCTGGGCAAAACCCTGGTAATCCTGTCCCTGCATTAGTTGCCCATATGCCGCATTTCCGTTAACTTGTTGTTGGCCCTGCTGCTGCTGAGTGTCAAACCACTGATACCCGCCTCCAAGGCTTGCAACCGGAGCAGGTGCCTGCGTCTGATACGAGCTTTGATATCCCACGGAAGTTTGTTGTTGCTGCGGCTGCTGCGGCACTACCCGGGGAGGTACATTCTGCGGCTTGATCCCACCAACCTCCGTAGCACCAGGTGGCAGAGGCGGTAGGTCCCGGTCCAGAGCATCGAATGGATTCACGCTCCCACCCGACTTCTGGATACTAATCCCAGCCGTAATCGGTGGGCTATTCGACGAGCCGTTGTTGCCGAGTCGTAGCAAAATCTCCGAAGCCTCGATAATCTTACCGTTTACGCTTTTGAGAACCTCCATGATCTTCCGCTCATCCTTGAAACCCATATCCTTTAGGCTCTGTAGCTGCTCTTGATACGGCGGGGCCGTGACCATTCCATGCGGGAAAACCACTGGGCCGACAGGGGGTGCCTGTCGAGCGTCAGTGTATGGCATCGACCCCAACCCGAGAACCTGAGAGACCTTCGAGGAAGAAGACGGCGACGGAGAAGAGGTACGGGCCGGTGGGTTTCTTGACGCCACGTATCCAGTGGACACAGATCTAGTCGGGGGAGCTGTTATCCGGGCCGAGGAGGTCGAAGCATTAGATGAGGGAAAGGAAGAATTAGACGAAGCAGACGAAGGTAAGGACAGACCACTCGTACTCGATGAAGCACCAGAGGATATAGACGAGGTAGACGAGTTCTGTGGCTGCACGGTTTCCCGCATAAACGACTTGTACTCGTATTTGCTTCGTATATACCGTTCCATAAGACTATCCGAGTCCTCGCCATTAAGGGGGACAGGGTGCTTGCTAGCATCGGGATTGTGAACGGTGTTACTTATCACGTTCCCTCTGGATCGCATATTCTAGAACCGTCAGACCAAAACCAAACAGCGACCCAAGCAGAAGACGGGGCACAAAGGGTAAGTGAAGTGATACATCAATCTGCTCATTCGTCCACATATCCATCGATATGGACTTGATCTTTGAAATATGAGTACCTAACTTCCGATGCAACGAAGCGCATCGTATGCACAGGAATATGCCCAACTTTGCGTTCCACCATCAGCCAAGCACAAAGAGCAAAAACAGAGGAGGGGGGGAAGGCGAATTACACTCCAAGAAGCCCATGCTGTTATAGAAAGAAAGAAAAAATCCCCCTGTCAGTACGAGAAAACAAAAGTAAAAGGGAGCAAAGGAAATCTGCGCGTAGCTTGATTCTTCTTGTCCCCACTCTTTCCCCAACCTCCCACGAAAACCGGGGGAAAAAAGCAAAAAGGGCAGAAAAATCAGGGAGGCATGGGTCTGGAGAACAGCAAGGCAACGAACCCGGATTCCTAGTCCCACAATCCGCACAGCGGTCATTCCCTGGAACACTCTTTATAAGGTCCTGAAGTATGCGCTCGTTCCGAGCCTGTTGACGCTTATTCCTAATCGAAGACATCCTCTCCCCCGCCTCAAATGTGATCCTCCTCCTCCTCCTGTTCTCGCAGCTTCGTCACGAGGTAAGGGGGGTTTAGCACAGGGAAGTTTGTGCGTGAGTGCGTGTGCGGTATGTAGGTAGCTGTAGCCCGTAGATTGTATGGAATGGTCCACTGTCGTGAGGGCGGCGTGCAGTGCTTTTCCCCCTTCTTTCTCTTATCCTCCTTAGCTCGCGGACCGGGAAAGGGGTGGTAGTGGTGGAGGCACGGTGGGAGGGGGAGACACAATAAGGGAGGGGGGGGGAAACTCTGGGGTCTTTCTGGAAGGAGGGAGAGAAGGAGAGGAAGCAGGAGGAGGGAAAAAAAAGGGCGGAGAAGGAATGGATGTATGTAGGTGGAGGGGGGGTCTCAGGTTCGCATGAGAGGGCTAGCGAGTGGGCCGCTCTGCTAGTGGACAGAGACAGGGAAAAATGGAACGAAACCCAACGTGTTTGGATCAGACCGTTTCTTCACTTCTCCCATATTTGTGCTACGAATAGGATGAACTCTACCACTATCTACAGACAAGCACGGTGCAGTGCAACAAAAAAATGAAGTAAAATATCGGATAACACTGGAGACCATCAGCACACCATCCCCAACCCTTGGCAAAAGAAAATAATAATAATTCAAAATTCTCTACCGAGGACCGAAAAGACGAAGGTAGCAAACAGCGTAACGTGCCATCCAACGAGGCTTCATAATAATGACAACGTTTTTGATTCCTCTCGAACGCCAATATGACCAAATTTCTCTGCCAGGGGAGCGAAGTGAGCAGAAGGTATGAATAAACGTTCCTGAGGAGGGGGAGAGGAGAGGAGAGGAGAGGAGAGGGAAGGGATCGAGGAGGAAAAGGGCGAGATCGGATAGGTCCGAGCTGCTGAGTTGCTGTGCCCTGAACCCTTTTCATGTCCTCTTTTTGCTTTTCCTTCCTCTTTCTTTTCTTTTCCTCGCTTCCCCAACAACTCCCCATCCCAACCCACCCAACCCACCTCAACCACCATGATACTGTGCGGGCACTGTACTCGAGTACTGTATAATACTATCCATAACTAATACAACAATCAATCATCAACCCAAATCCACTTGCTCCCCCTTCTAAAACAGAAAGAAATAGAAGAAGAAAAACAAGCACGAGAACGAGAACAAGACAAAAACATACCACAGCCAATTGCCTACCTCCCACACCCTCCTCAGTTGAATTCCATCAGGAGTTATCCTGAGCGAGACTGCCCTCAATGGGTGGGAGCCGTATACTTGGTATAGATGGAAGATTGAATGCCGACTCCACCCTGAGCCTCATTGTGATTGAAGTATTCGGGACTATTGTTTGGTGAACATTTTTTTTCCTATCTATTGCGCCCCCGGGGGGTTGGCATGACCGGGATGGATAAACAAAGTCGCTCCCGGCGTTGGGGGGACGGAGGTGTCAGACTGCATGCGTCTATCGGATTCTGTACAGTACTCGTGGACTGCATGCACCTTGCGGTCTCACTGGGAATCACTCGCTGTGCCCTGTAATACTCAAATAGGTGTGTATAGAAGACTGAAAGAAAAAAAAAAAGCCCATAAAACCAAAGGAAGAGAGATTCAATTTTATGAGGTTTAGTTCCCGAGTTACAAACTGAATGGTTAAAACTATCCTACAATGCCCAATACATTCCATCCCACCCCAGCACGTCAGGGATCGCCGCTATCCACTGACACAAGGCGCCACCCGCGCTATTATGACCACCTCCCAACAGGTACCTGCAAAAGCGAATTCTCTTCGTTTGGCCCATTCCCATTTGATGGGCCAGTGCCCTTTCTGGACCCGCCGGCGGATCGTGTAGGCTTACTTTGGGCCGCCTCGTGCTTCCTGCAAGACCCGCACTGGTAAGTATACCGCTTCCCGGATGAAGGCAGGATGGAAGCAACAAACCTCAACTCCTCCGGCACCCTGGAAATCTGACTCTTCATAAGCATCTGCTTGAGATCATACATAACATCCGCATCATCATTGCTCAGGAAAGTGATGGCAACACCGCTCTTTCCGGCTCTTCCGGTTCTACCAATTCTGTGAGTATACTGCTCGATGCTGGTCGCCATATTGAAGTTGATAACCAGTGAGACGTCTGGAACGTCGATACCTCTACCAGCCAGATCGGTCGCGACGAGGATATCCGCTTGTCCGGCGCGCAGCTGCTGCAACGCCTGCTCTCTCTGGTCCTGGGATTTGGACCCGTGCAAGGTGACGGCGTGCCAGCCGAGGTGCTTGAGGTCTTTGGCGACGGCGTCGCAGTTTCGCTTGATGTTGACAAAGACTATGACCGGAGGCGCGAATTCTCGGGAGTTGAGGATCTCCGCGAGACGCTTCTTGCGGCGGTCCTCTGAGCCGATGAATTCGACTCGCTGCTCCACTGTGTCGACGGCCTCGCCCGCGTTGCCGATCGTGACAATTGCCGGGCGGCGGAGATACTTTCGTGCTATGCGCTCGATGGCCGGGGGCATGGTTGCGGTGTACATCATTGTTTGGCGGAAACGGTCTTTGCCGCCCAGATGCTTTGACATTAGAACGGGATTTTCGGCGTCTTCCGTGTCGGGCTTGACGTTGTGGACCGGGAGAGCGTCGAGGATCTTATTGACGGACTCCTCGAAGCCCATGTCTATCATGCGATCTGCTTCGTCCTGCATGGGCCAGTCAGCACAAACCACACTCTCAGGTAGGTGTAGATGTAGACACGGGGCATACCATAATGACATAGCAGCACTGACTGAGAACCAACAACCTCCGCTCAAGGCAGTCCACCAATCTACCAGGCGTAGCAATAATTATTTCTGCGCCATCTCTAAGATTGTAAGCCTGTTCTTCAATGGTGTGCCCACCGACAATACTGACACAAGTGAAACCCAGAGGAGTAGCAAACTTCTTCGCCTCCACCTCAATCTGCTGCGCCAGCTCGCGAGTCGGCGCGAGCACAATAGCGTATGGTCCATCATTCTTGGTCATTTCGCTCAGAGACGGCAGCTCAGAGATGTACACGAGAAGCGGTAAAACGAACGAGGCCGTTTTACCAGAACCGGTGACGGCCACACCGATAAGATCTCTGTTCTGGAGGGCGATAGGAATAGCAGCTCTCTGGACCGCGGAAGGCTCCTTATACCCAACTTCACCAACAATCCTAAGCAGTCTCTCCGGTAACCTGGATTCCTCCCAGGACCGCATAGGATTGGGAATCGCTCCTCCTCTCGTAGCGATATTAAAGTCCTCCTTAAAAATACGCCAATCCCTCTCCTTCATCATGTCGAGCGGCTTCTCGGACCAATGCTTATCGACCCAATTAGCACCCTCCCTCTTCTTCCTCTCCATCTCCAGAATCTCCCTCGCTCTCCTCCTCTCGTCTTCCCCACGCGCCTCGAGGGCTTTCACATACCCCTGCGTAGGTTTCTCCGTCTCTGCGAACCCGCCCAGACGCCCGCGACCAAAGAAGTGCGCCTCAGCACGATTATTGTATAGAGGATTGTAATCCGGAGAAGTATCCTCCTCAGCCCCCCACTCGAACGTGAACTTCCGCTCGGATGTCTTCCTCCGCTTCTTCTTGCTCGCTTGAGCGCTTGAATCCGGGTCGATACCCATGTATCTCTTCCTGATTTCAGCAGCGCCAGCAGCTTCCAGTGAGACCTTCCTCTTATCGCCACCCTTCTCCCCGGGCGGTGGCGGAGGAGGTGCCATATCACCATCCCCTCCCCGACCTCTATTCCCACCCCCGCCCCTCTGAAATCCCTGCTGGTTCCTCATAGCTGCAGGCCCGGTCGGGGGCTCACGCTGTCCTCTTGGGCCAGTTGGGGGCCCTCCACCCCCACCTCTTCGAGCACCACCTGCACCACCACTCCCGCCGCCGCCACGAGCTCCATTACTCTGCGCCTCCACCCAATCACGTCGCTCCACCTCTTCGCGCTTCCGCCGATCCTCGACTTCCTTCTGGCGTTTTTCCAAGGCGATCTTTTCTCGCTCCGCTTTTGACAGGAATTTGGGCTAGGCAGGTCAGCATGACTCTTTGTATTCACCCAAGGAGCGGGGACGGAAGAGGTGTGGAAACCCTTTTAGCAGCTTCATCTGCCTCTTTCTTCTTCTTTAGTATCTCTTCTATAGATAGAGGGCCTCGGGTGGGGGCTGGTTTTGGTTTAACTTTCGGCGGGGGTGGTGGGGGAGCCGGTTCTACGGGAGGTGGTGGAGGAGGTTCCTCTGTTGGCGGTGGAGGAGGTTCCTCTGTTGGCGGTGGAGGAGGTACGGCGGAATCTGGAGGAGGCGGAGGCGGCGGCGATGGCGGAGGTGGAGGTGGAGCCTCGAGGGGGTAGCTATCCATTGTTGTGATTTCGGGTGGATCTGGTAGGGAGGTAGAGGCTAGAGAATTTTCTAGCCGCGCTTTTGAGGTCGCTGTTTGGCATGTAGAAGGTGCAAGTTTATACCCGAGCAACCGTTGGCTAGCTGTGTTGACGTCGTCAATCACGACGCGCAGCAGAGCCTCCAATACCGTACTACATTGTGATGGCAAGAAAAAAAAACCCCATGATATGAGAAGAGCACTTGCACCAATTGCCAGGGGGAAAGTAGAATTCAATTGTAGAAGGGAAGACTATATATCCAATTCCACCTCTAGAGCACGACACCATCCCAAACTCCGTGCATCCGTGTCTACCTCGGCCACTCGGTCCACCCCCTTCCATGACCAGCCTTCCTCCACCTTTCGATAAGATTCGGCATTCCACGCATCGCCTTCTCCCGCATCTCCAACCTACACCATTCAGATTAGCCTGCCTCTCCGCCTCCCCCAACCCGTGATGGAAGAATACATACCTCCCTTTGAGCGTCCTCTCCCATTCCTTGCCCTTCGGTGACATCATCTTCTTCATCTTGGGCCCCTCGAGGGCCCTCTTCTCCCTCACCGCCGTCTTCTTGACCGTCGGGGGTAACAAGTCCTCCAAACCATAGTCTCTTGCGAGCACCACTAACTCCTTCTGCCGGCGCAGCGAGTAGACGGGGTTATGCCATTTCTTGGTGACCGGGTGGATGGTCGGTTTGAATGGGTTCTTGACGACGTCGTTGGCAGTGCCGGGAGGGTATTTGGCGAAGAACCGGGTCAGTCGCGGCGGGAGGGTTTGGGCGAGCCTTATGAAGTCAGCGGAGGTTGCCATCGTTTATCCGCTCGCAGTGTGGAGGAGGAGAGTGATGGGGGAACCGTGGGATGTGGGGGGGGGATGTCTGGAGGGGGTGTGAAAATATCATGATGCTGGGCTGTTTGGCCCGGCCGGACTAGCTGCACTTGACCCCACTGGACTTCGCCCGGTGTCATGATAGGTATTCAACTCCAAGTGATGGATCGCGGATTTCGTTCAAACTCTTCGAAATTAGAATTATCAATACCGTAACGTGAGAAGACAGAAACACGGAAACGGTAGAGTGAAAAATGACATAATATTATATAACAAAACTTTCCAAACACCCTTAAATCCCTACAATGATTCCCAGTCTCCAGAACACCGTCCTATTTTCTCTTTTCCCCTTTAGTTCCTTTCTCAAACTTCAGAGCAAAAGAGATCTGCGGAAGGAAGAGTATAGAATAAAAAGAAAAGAAAAAGAAAAACTAGAGCACAAAGCTGCGAACAGCAGAGAGCGAATGAGACACTAAGCAAGGGAGGGAAGGGAAAAGCGGATGCGTCGATGACCTGGTGCCTCTCGAGCGGATGGAACACCAAAAGCAGAAAGACACACAGAGATCCGAGAAAACGGAAGGAAGTAGATAAGTAAATAGCTGAATAAATAAATAAATAAATAAAGAACCCAGAAACTAGGGATATAGAATACATGCTCCAGAAAGAGTAAAACCCGCCAATCTGCTGGGAATGTAAGTGCTGTACTGTACAGAGGAGTAAGTACAAAAACCACAAGGCGCCAGTTGGATCATCAACCACCCTCGCCGAAAGTACGCCGTACCAAATGACCATAAACACAGCCCCTTCTTGCCACCATCCCCCCGATATCCTGGTAAAGTTCGTGATCCGCCGGAAAAAAGGGGCAAAAAGGAAGCAAAAACACAACCAACATAGAAAGATCCTTTTCAACGAAGAAGAAAGATGACTTTGTAGCATAACAAGACGCCATAACCATACACAATAAGAACCTTGGAATACAAAAAGGCCGGAGCCGCCCACCCTGTCTGTCGTCTCGTAACACCTCACCGGTATCGAACCAAGACCGTGACCAACCTAACCCTCATAACCAACCAACCCCCCCCCCCCCCCCCCAAACGAAATACAAATATATATAAAAAATCATTCACGAAGCGATATGAAATGTGCCTGATGCATGAAGAAACAGAGATCGTGAGAAATCGTAAAATAGTCTTCATCCGGTTTAAGAAAAGTGACCAAGGTTGAAATTCCGGCCCGGGAAGGTCGATGAGTAAAGGACGAAGAAACACACGCAGATGAAAACGCCGAAAACCCCACGACCATATCCTCCAATGAAACCCCTGTGAGATATACGACAAACCGGCAACCTCGTACAAAAAGGGAAAATCTGTGTCTGAGAACGCGAAATAAAAATTGCAATGCAAAAGAGCAGACAGAGCTCGCGGGCGCTGAGCGGAGTTTTGATGTCCGGCCCTGTCCCTCACGATTCCTACGTAGGGACGCCATGTTCGGTGTGGATTGCCCTCGCGGGTTCTACTTTGGAGAGACGCCCATCAGGGGAGACAAGGGCTGTAGAGGCGAGCTTGGTACTGAATGGATGCCAGATGACCGCTTGGAAACTTCCGACATCTTCTTCCTGAGGGAAACAAGCCTCTTGCGGATGCTTGAAACATCTAACTCAATTAGTGCCAAAATTCTCCCGAGGAAAGCCACTAGAGCGCTTCAAAGCAAAACTCACAGTTCTCAACCACTATCCTATCCTCTTCTTCCATGCCGCCATCACCATCATTTTGGTCGACAGAATCGCTCTCCAAAACCGCCTCCAGCATCCGGATCGATGTAACATAAGCCACCTCACAACCATTGAGGTCGTCCCCAACCAATTCATTGACCGCGGCTGCCCTACTCATTTCAAGGGCACGGTCATACATCAATTTCTCCGCGGTGACGCCAGGTGTCACCACAACTCTATCGCCGCTAGCATCCAAGGATCCATCGCTATCATCATTCTGATTACTTGGATGACTCGGGTGACTTGATGGTAGTAATTTCTGCGCCTCGATCAATTTGCACTTCACAAAGTCTGCCTTCTCAAGGACCTCGTTGAACCGGTCCCGGACCCACTGCACACAATTATTCATTCTCATGCTCGCGACTGCCATAGCCGGCGACGTTTGATCGTTCCGACTGTTGGACGTATTCCACCATGCCCCAGCAATGTCCATAGCCTTAGCAAGTATCCCAAGAGCTTTGACGTACAATACGAGTGCCTCCTCTGCAAGTTGAACAATGGCATCGGGGGTAAGGTCTAGCTCGCTCGACGGTGTAGGCTCAACAGGCAATCCAAGGTCCCCTTCGCTTGCTGATGGAGGGAGCAGCCCTAATCCATGCGTAGGTGCTGGCACAGCCGGTATCAATTGCGCAAGCTTAACCTCGGCAAAGTTGTAAACAACATCACTCCTACTAGCGGCATCCTCAATGTTGTACACAGCTTGCATATCGTCATCTGATGGGCCACCCTCATTGCGAACCATAATCATGCTAGCAGGATTGTTCGAGTACGTAGGGTATGGTGATTGAACACCGGGAGGGCTATGACGAGGAGGTGAGACACTAACACCAAACAGACGAAGGTTGGCAAGCTCCAATGCCCTAGCAAGCGTAGACCGAGTCGAGCTCGGCGAGGGAGAAGGAGCAGAGCCAGGAGAAGGCCCATACCGTCTTTCATACGAGTTTCTAGGATATCCACCATCTTGACGTCTGCCAGTGACAGCGATTGCATTTGTGGCGCCTTGACCCCCGGACGTTGGTCTGCGTGACAAAGCGCTCGACGAAGGTGACGGCGGGGTCATACCATTCCGCCTAACAGTGGCGAGTTCATCCGCAAAGGCATTGACCTGGACAAACTGCTTGTCCACAAAGACATAATCCTTCTCAACCCGCTCCTCCTCGAGGGGACGCATCTCGCGAGCGGTTGAGTTGCGTTTCATTTGTCTATCCTTCTGGGGCTCCCGTTCCCGTTCTCGCTGAACCAACAATGAGCTACCGGGTGAAGGATCTGTGCCCCTGCTGGTCACCCTCTCCATCGGAGTTCCGGTCCTTCGGATATCCACACGCTCTTGCCAGGCTGGCGCAGTCGAATGAGTTACCATCATGGGCCTTGCTAACGGAGATGGCGGTGATGCTTGGGCACCCTGCGTTGTAACCCTGCGAACATCTGCTAATCTAGGAGGAGGGGGGTTTGTATGCGCAAAGGGAAGGGCCGAGGATTCTACAGCCTGTCGGAGCCTTGGGGATGGAGGAGTTTGTTGAGGAGTTCGCCTTCCTTCTCGGTCGGTTCCAAGCTCTCTCCCATCACCGGGCGCTCGTAAAGAGGGGGTCCTTTGTATTGAGGTGGAACCTACTTTGGGAGTATCCATACTCCTTGTCTTCTTCATTGGCTCGGAAACCAGGGCAACGGAGGCACCAGGAATTGGCCCAGTAATCACAGGATGACTGAAAAACTCCTTGAATGACATCCTCTCCAAGGGATTTCTCCTCAGTAAACTGCATATCAATCTTCTGATCTCCTCGCTTGCTGTGCACGAACCGGGGAATTCAATGGTATCGCCTTTGGTCTCAATTTTCCTCAAAAGCTCCACATGATTCGGGGCCCTGAAGGGTGGCTTTCCAACTACCATCTCATAAAGCACAGTTCCAACAGACCACAAATCGGCAGTGGCATCATACTTCTCATATCTCAAAATTTCCGGTGCCATATAGAGCGGTGATCCACATAAAGTATCCGCCAAGGAGGCAGCGGGTAGATTTCTGGCAAATCCAAAATCAGCAAGCTTGAGGATCGGCAATGACGGAAGCCCGACGAGTGCCTGCGAACCATCTGGAGCGTATTCCCCTTCAGCTACCGGGGTCCCGGAATCATAGCCGGCGGGTGGATCTAACAACAGGTTTTGCGGCTTTACATCCCTATGAACCAATCCGAATTTCCTCAGGTACTCAAGTGCACTGGCAAGCTGCTTCATAAAATGCCTGGCGACAACCTCGTGCAGGCCACTTCCAGGAACGTGAGGATAGGTCCTGATCAGGGGCTCTAAACAGGGGTGTAGGGATTCCAGTTTGTCCCTCTTCTTGATTACAACAGACAAATCGCCAACGGAACAATACTCCATGACAATATAAATGTACTTGTCGTTCTTGCTGCAATCCTTCAAGGCGACAATATGTGAGTGATTCAGTTTCTTGAGAATCTGGATTTCCGACTCGAGATTTTCGAGGAGCTTTCGGTTAAGCTTCCCCCGTTGTACCACCTTGACAGCAGCGAGCGATTTTGGATTTTTCTAACCGGATCAAAAAAAAATCAAGACGTTAGCATGCAATCCAATGATTGGGTCACGACATCCAACTCCAACGTTTCAAATAGGCCCGAGCAGGGACCGAATAAGAACCGGCGAAATGAAATGAGGATGACTCGTCAGGCTGCGTCCCGGGGGGTAACCACAGCTGCAGTAGACCCATCAAGGCAGGATTCCCCCTTGTTGCTCGGAAGACGCAGAGAATCCCAAAGAAGAAGAAAAATCTGGTGCGGAAGATGGAAGAGAGTTTGGAGTGCGTAGAGTGTAGCTCACCACATGGTGCCCCTTGAACACAACAGCAAAAGACCCTCTGCCAATTTCTTTGCCCACCCTGAAATTCCCTACCAGTGAATCCGGCACCGGTCCTCCACCCGAGGACGAATGTCGTGAAGCCATGAGTGCAAGTTTGTATCGTTCCCTATCCAAGGTCGAGGTTGAGCGGGAACAAGCAAGCTTCGGAGCTGCTACCGTAAGGTTGGTGTGGCGGCTACGTTTGAGGAGATGGCGTTGACCTTATGTGTCATACGACGGAAGCTTACTATCTGGTCGAGCAGATAGATGCCTGTGGAATATACTGGGCGAGAGAATGTTGGGCTCGGGGCAGCAATGGGCGGGCGAAAGAGTGGAGATAACGGCAACAAGTCTAGAATGGTGGACGTCCTTGCAGGCGGGAACACTGGAGAAGACGGGGGAGGGTAGAATGGCGGGCGGGGATGTGAAGCGAGTGGGCTATTCTATCTGGATGGACTAATTATGAGTGCCGGATATCGGGGGGAGGGGGGAGAAGTAGGTAGCAGTACGGTGGTGGTAGTGGTAGCAGTAGGTAGCAGCGGGAGGAGGAGAGAGGGTATGACGGACGAGCGGTCACTAGTGACGAGTCGGAGCTTGAGCGTGATAGGGTTGTAAGGAAGGAGGGCAAAGCGACGGAAGGGGCGGAGGGGTGTAGTAACAACGACGAGGAGGAGAAGGAGGAGGAGGAAGGAGGAGAGAAGGGAAAGAGAAAAGAAGGGAAGGGAGAGCAAAGAAGGAGAGGAAATAATTGGAGACGCGGTGAAGAATCAAGCGAGCGAGGAGTAGCGAACACACTCTAGATAAGAAGCGTCACCGACACACTAACTTCCAGTGCCGGACCGGTACCCCAGTCGTCCACTGTCTCACGCGGGAGGAACGAGCGCTGGGGAGCGGGCAAGAACAAAGATGCAGAGGACGGGCAAGGCGAAAGGGATAAAACACACCCCCTCGGAAGCAGCGAATCCACGGCCTTCTTTCCTTCCTTCCTCCCTGTCTTCCTTGAATAGTGGTGGAGGAGAGGGAAAAGAGGAAATAGGAGCAAAGCAGGTAGACGGACAGCCTGGATAGACAGAAGGGTGCTCGTACCGTATGTATAAGTGTGAGGAATGGGTGCGTACGGGTGCACGATAGGATGCGAATGTAATAATAATATGGCAGGCACAAGCACTGATCAGTCACACAGCCAGCTACCGGTAGACCCATGGCCAGCTAGCCACCACCACCATACCTGCTGCTCTGCTGCCTTCTGCTTCCTACTTTTCTCCTCCGTTGCTCTGCTCTGCTTCACCTCCACATTCTAGCTTCAAAACGCTCTAACCAGGTGACGTGACCTAACTAAATTTGGTATGGTCCAAACGAGAAATTACCTTGTCCGGCCAAAAGCAGGGTAATTCGTGATATGGTCATGCCCCTTCCTCCAGGCCCACCCCAAGAGTAACTTATGATACCTCGCCCAACCAGATGGAAGAGGGAGCCCGGGGCGCAAGCGCATCAGAAAGAGGCGGCGGGCAGGCACGCAAACCACAGCGACAGCAGAGGAAGAAACGTCCAAACAAACCCGCCCCCCAGTGTATTGTAGGAAGCTACAGCAGCCCACCGCCTCCAACGTAGGGATCGGAATGGAATACGGTACAAGCACCATGCAACAAACAGGGCTAAGTACCCATCCCGCATCAGTCACTTGGGTGACAAAGCCTATCCCCTGCCTCTGGCTTACCGCACACCTGCTCGCCCTTTCACATACGGGACATAACCTACGATACATACCTATCGTATCCTACTCGTACTGCACTGTACGAGTATGATACACCACGAGTGACCCTACGGCCGCCTAACAGCCCTCGCTCCCTCTCCTCTCCCCATCCAGGGTTTCACTGGCATCACCGGTATCAGCTCCAAAAAAAAAAAAAATAATACAGTATGATAAAAGACGGAGAAAAAAGAGGAAGAAGAAAAAACACTCCCCGTCTTGACCCCGTCGCTTCGGTACTTTTTTTTTTTTCTATGCGTCTAAAGATAGCCCTCCCCCCCCTCCGCTACCTTTAGAGGACTTGGTATCATACCGTAGGAATCGCCCTTATACACGGGGACAAGGCCCTACCTATCACGACAGAAAATTCCCCAACAACGCAAAATATCGAATGGGGCCGAAACCGATGCAGCCAAGCTGGGTGGTAATACTATGCTGAAAAGGAATGGTCCGGGGTTTCTCTCTTCTCTACATTTCTTTTGGGTTCAATGCAGAATACGGTAAGTTGAGGAAGAAATGAGTTTGGTGGTATAGCATACGAGCAGATATCTATCCGATCTAGTCCAAGTTGCGGAGGTACAAGTAAGCAGTCCAGGTATCATGCAAGTAGCGTATGCTGGCGGTGGGGGCGAGAGGGAGAGGGAGAGGATTGTAACTTGGTCCCGTAGCCATCTCCGCCGTGTGAAATGCATTGTTCTTTGTCCACGAATACGGTACGGGTAGAGAATATTCCACCCAGAATATGTGGCGATGTTACTCTGCAGTGCCGGCACCCGTACAGTACTCGTACCAGTACTAGCACAGCCCGTGCATCACAATTCGCACTCACAGGAAATACTCGAGTGCTCATGGAAAGCGAATGCTAGGAATTGAACGCCCTAGGAAATAGACATACCGGTAGTCTAAAGACCCCACGAACTACGGTACCTTAGCCCCCCAAGGCGATTCCACCCCCAATTCGGGATGGACGGAAAACTGGCAAACCCAGGCCCCAGGCCCACCTCCCCCTTCAATACAGGGTAATTTGCCCAGGGAAGAAATCCCCCCCCCCCAAAAAAAAATGCACACTTCAAACCTGGGCGATGAAAAAAAAAAAAAAAGGCTTACTTGGGGAGGGAGGGAAGGAGACTCCCCGGATTGGCAGACATGGTATGGAGAAAGGATTCGGGGCGTTGTGAGGGTGGAAGTGCGGTTACCGTAGGCTAGACCAGACCAAAGTCTGCTCGGACAGGAATAACTTACGGTCGAGCGCTCGAGTACTGTCGCACGTACTGCACGGGTACCCTACTCGTACTTGCTCTGCAAGCGCATCAAGGTTTCCTTCTGTCTCTGTTTCCTCCGCATCAGGTCACAAGGCGACAAGGGGAAGTCTGCAGGCAACTATCATTATCGAGGGGGAAAGAAAAAAAGCAAACAATCCGCCATCCGAGGAGAACCTCCTCCTGGTCCCAACCAGAACCATCACCGGTGGGTTTTTCTTTTTCCTCTTTTCTTTTTCCCCCTTCCTGCCTGCTCCCTTCGGCTCCGGTATCACAGCGCCAATAAACAGGCAATCTAATCAGATTGGACTATCGATCCCCGGGACACCGGTACAGTATCACGGAAACAGGAACAGAAGGTCAAAACAACAATTTGGTCGTGATAAACGACTACGCTTTCCATTCCAGTGAATTATTTCCATGCCCGTAACTCACAAGTACGCCTGTAGGACTTTCCAATAAAAGCGGTACGGTTCCCGCATCGGCCGCGATCGAGGAGGGCAGCAGCACCAACAAAGATATACATTGAAACATCTACCTCGACAACCAAAACAGCCTAAAAAGTGCAGAAAGACAAAAGTATCTCGACGACGACGACAACAGACGCCGGTGGGATTAGTCAAGTCAGTCATATGTGATGTGAGTAAGGAGGTGAAGTGCGACTTTTTCGTTTCGTGCGATTTTGGCACGATTCGCGAGCTGGATGTTCGATAGCGAACCGGACTGGGCGGAGTCTAACGCAGAGGCACATGTTCTAGGCAGCACGATGAGCACGGACGGTATATAGAAGAAATGATAAATTCTAAAGGAAGGAGCAGCGGAAGAGAAATGAATATTGTGAATCTACGTACGGGGAAAGAAATGAAATGGAGATGCGAAAGACGGTGCTCGGTCCGCGGAAGGCATTGTGTGCATGAGGGCAAGATACACAGCCCGTTTGGTCGTTGATCGGTAGATGCCCTCCAGCTCGCTTTCTTGCTTGTGGGCTCGCTATCCGGTACTTTTGCTCTGCTGCCTGGATCGCATTCAGCTTGCTTGCGTGAAAGAACCAGAACCCCAGTAGATACGGCGGCAGTGGGGGGGGGAGTAAGAAAGATCCGATCCAAATCACTCGCCACGGCACGTTCCCGCGCGCGCTCGCTCGCCCTCTCCACCCTTGGTCTTGGGCGAGGAATGAATGAGGAATTGCTCTCGGTCCGCAGATCAATCAGACGCAAGAAACATACAGTACCAGTAATTGCCGTACCGGTACTGTACGAGTACTCGAGTACTGCACTAGTACTCGTACAGTGTCGCAAGACAAAAAAAAAGAAAAAGAAAACCCCTACCATACTGAAACGACTCAAGACTTGCCCTATACGAGTACTTGTACCATTCCAAGCCGAGATCTTCCTTCCAGGCTAGCTGGGTTAGGATATCTTGAGGAACCGGTGCTCTATGGTGAGGGATAATCACTCCAAATCACATACCGGTAATCCATCTCATCATTTTAGTTATAGATGATGTCTACTTTACAGCACATTCATCGCTGCTGCTATCGGCAGCCGGCACTAGCAGGAAGCTTATCCCCAATTCATCACTGACTTCCCCATGACCAACCCTCTATCATTTTTATTTCCTTCACTCCAGTGTCAAGTTATCGCGCTTCCAAATCTCCTCCAATTCATTCAATCCCCTATCTGCGGTATCTCTCCCCCAGCCAAGCCAAACCATACCACACCACATCAACCCAATCCATCCGATAACGTACTCATTCAAACTCGCACAGTAAATCAACGGCCCGCATCCCGCTTATCAACAAGCCCTCTCCCCCACTCTAAACTCCCAAAGGCTAGAGGAAAAAAAGAGATCCTATCAATCAGCACTCTTATCTGTCTTTCCCGAGGAAAATTGCCAGCAAGCAGGAAGCCCTCTATATATAACCGAGCGCCGCATCGGAGATCGAGCAATAGCTAACTAATCGTTCCTGCGCACCTCTTCGCTCTGGTAAGGCTTATATCGAATTGGGTTGAATTGAACCTGCCTGAATACTGGGTTATCGTGAGGACCATTGCCGTTGCCTATCGGGGGTTTAATTTGTTTGCAGGGTGGGATTAACATAGTACTAGTACCGTAGTAACTTTCGGTAGCCGGTGCACGATGCATATGGTGATGGATGGGGGATGCAACCACCATTCTATGTACAGTACTCAAGTACCGGTACTTGTATCATACCTGAACGGTACCTATGTTGCCGGATTGAAGTCGTCGTTTTTTTTTTTTTTTTTGGTAGTGACGCACCGAAGGCGACGCGACATTAGCCCGGCCGCATGAGCACTATGCGCGTTGGAGTGGAGTTGAAAAGGATATTACCGGTGATTGATCACTGCCTGCCCGTGTGTCTGGGATAATAACGGTAACCGGACCTACCGTACTCGAGCGCCTGTACAATACGGTACTCGAAACTCACCTGCTCCAGCACATAACATAACATACGTGTCGGCTCCCACTCCACCCTATCGACCCCCCTTTATGGTCAATGCCCATCCGGATCGACGGGGCTTCTCTATCATGTCCCCCATTCCCCATCCCCCCCTCCCCATCTATCATCAGCGGTCCAACCATCCATTCGAGCACCGCTACCCCAGCCACTGGCCAGTACCACACCAGCTTACTGACTCAGCAACACACAACCCCATCCGTCCAACCAACCAACAAGCGACAGTAGTGACTACGAGTGATCCCCCATGACCGCTCAAGCCAATGACCGAAAAGCCAAAACGCCACCCAGCACCTTGGATTCAGAAATCCCTATGATGAGCTGGCAATTCCTAAGTTTCCCCCACCACCTTCCCCGCAAAGTATATCTTGCCTACTCGCTCGCCAGCTAGTTTCCCCCAAGCGAGAACTCGCCGGCTTCGGAACAGGTATACCGGTGCCGGAATCCCTCACTGCAGTATTCTTCTCCTTCTTCCCCCTTCCCCCCTTCCCCATCGATTACCCCGTACGTGCTAGCTCGGAAATCGGTTCGTCGCGATTGGTACGCATGCTCTGCATCCGGGCATGGTGTGGTATGGTATGGTATGGTACGGTAGTTTTTTTTGTTACAGGATGTGTCAGGATATGCGCTTTGGATCTGCTGATGTGCCGACTTGTCTACCAGTAGAGTGCAGTTCTTGTATGTAGGTATTTATGTACATAAGTCGCGTGGTAGCCGGGTGGTGGTGATAGGTTGGGGTAATTTCTTTTTTTTTTTTTTAATTTTTTTTTTCTTTTCTGCAGGATCGGGGTTGGAGTTTTATTTTATTTTATTTTATTTTGAAGGGGGGGGTTACACACTGTGCGGTACAGTGCTGATGAGTGTGATAGCTGGGGGAAGGAGCGCCCGATGGAATCAGTTACTGTACTGGTACCGAATGAATGGGCGAATATATTGTGCATTGCGGGGCTGGACTTATTACTCACTTTGCATCGTGCCGTGCAAGTACTGTACAAGCACAAGTGTGATGTTGTACCATGTAGTGAGGGCATGGTATCATGACATTATCACACAGCATTCGATCCCATCCACCCGCGGGACAAAAAAAAAAAAAAGCGCCCGAAGAAGCAGAAGCAGAAGAACGTTGCCATCAATTCAATCCCACAGAATTTACCAACCAGCATCACGAATTCTCACTACGTATCGTACGGTACGTCCGAGTCGAGTACTGTACTTCAGTACCACAGCCCTGGCAATTCTTTCTTCTGCAAAGGAATTCTCATAGTCTATCGTATCTTCCTGCATCGGTTGGGTTATGATAGGTGTATATATAATCGACCGCTCCGAGTTGGACTTACAATTCCTTCACTAAATCTTTTGAAAACTTGCGATGGGATTGGAGGTCATCTCATCTCGATTTATGCATCGTATTTGGGTGTGGGTTTTAATTACCACCCAACCCCCCACCGAATTCTTAGTTCCTAATCGTGCGGTAGAGTAGGGTAGAGAAGAGAAGAGAAGAGAAGAGCATCCACCCACCAATCCCGATGATAACCGCGCTGTTGTCCGAAGTCGTCGCCGGTGTTGTCAATTGGGCTGCTGATACTGTGCTGTGCTGTGCTGTACTGTACAGTACTTTGTTGGTTTCGGACTGACTGACTGACCGACTGACTCGGCACGAGTCGGGGAATATAGTGATATTCTGGTGGTATATAAAGCGCTATGAATACAGTACAGTGTAGTACAGTGCGGCAAGCAGAATTTTTGAGATTGGGTGGTGGGTTTGATGGGATGGTTCTTGCTGTGATTAATCTTGTGGTTGTATGGTACGGGTGGGGGGGCGTGTGAGGGATGAAATGATTATTTGTGTGGGTTATTGTGGTGTTTTTCTCTGATGGGTTCTGGATATTACATGATTGGTGGTGTATCGCTGTTGTCTGAGTTGTTCCTGGATTGGGGGTGTTTTGGTAGGGCTTTCTTGCCTGTATGATAACTGTACATATGATACATATCACACATGGAAATGAGTAGTTTCCGAGGGCAAGTCATCACGTATCATGTCAATTGTTTTTGTTATACTGGGGTATCATAGGTTAGCAGTGAGATCCGTGATCGAGGGGGGGGTAATATTTTTTATTTATTATGAATTTAAAGGTATGATAGTTCTCCAGCCGCGTTGCGACTTTGAAGTTATCTGAGAAATGGAGCTCTTGCCCTTGCTATCTGTCTCTCCGCTTTCGTTATTCGATTCTTTAAAACTCGAGTTTTGATATCAGGATTTTCCATCCTTTCCCGTGTGATTCCTGCTGCTTCTGTCTCTTGCCTGCCTGGTCTTTGGCCTTCTACGGTGGTTGCAAACTATTTTCTGTTAATATCGTAGTGATTTGTGGGTTGGCTGGTCACTGCTCTATCATCCCCTCTCACCACCGCTGGTTGACCTGCGCCCCTGAACTGGAATGATTGCCTTTTTCCAAGCTCGGAGGGTGCATCGCAAAACCCAAGTCCCCGGGTCGAAGAAGGAAACATCCAGGAGGGGTGTGAAAGTATGCTTGTAGGTATCATACGGAATGGGGAATCATCCAGAAACATGGATTTCTACAGTACTGTACTCGAGTACACAAAAGCCCCCCCATGATGAATTGTTACAGACGGCAGTATGATATTATGATACTTATGATATGCACCATACCACCAACAACACAACAAGTTACTTCCATCTAGAAACATGCTTCAGAGGTCTATTTTCATCTTCCACCGTATTATGATAACTGTCCTTGGATAGTTTACAGTACAGTACAGTAGGTAGATAGATTCCTCGTGCACAATATCCGACAGATCAACCCTCTTGGTCCCTCACTTGAATGTGACATAATCACAATAGCGGAAAGCAAAAAACATCTCATGATATGTATCATATCATATCATATGTACGGTATCTGTGACGCCCTACGAGTACTCGGAATCACCACTATGGCACCCCTCAACAATACCTCACCCCCCCACCCCCCACCCCATCCATCCACCACACTTCTCAACCACCTACTTAACTAACCCCTTCAAGCCCATGCTCTAAGCACACTACCGGTATTTGCCGTGCACCTCACCCCGAACCTGTCGAGCCTCATAATAGGCTTTCGGTAAATTACGCGGCAGCCTGTGTAGTTTTCCGATACGAACTCATAGCTCTTAGTTTACTCGAGTACTTGCTTACATCCTCTATTCTTCGTATGGTACGGTATCAATCAATCACCCCTATTGCGTTTCCTTCCATTCAGACCTTTTCATTTCGTCGCCGTCCCAGACGGGGCACCTAACTTAGCTCACCACCAACCGAACCCCTCTAGCCTCGGAATCAGGACTCTACCGGTGTTAGTCCTGGTGACCGCTCGCTTTGCACGGCGCGGGGTATAGTTCCACGATCCGCCTTGGACCAGTTGTTGAGATCCTACATACCTATCATATTTTACCGGTTGGGGAGGTTCTTCGAGCAGTCTACGTCATCGCGAGCGTATCCTAGGCTGATGAACTACCGCAATGCGATGCTTTGTGGGCGGTACTGTGTGGACCGGGAGTGCCGTGTCACTATGGGGTCGGCTTAGCATGGCGGGAATGGTCCAGGGGGGGAAAGTGAGGGGAAAGTAGGAAGGTATCGGTGGTTATTTCCTCGCCCTCCTTTTAGGTTTTGTATACCGGTACTACTCTACGCACGGTGAATTATACTTTGAATGATTTGGCCCGTGGTTGGAAAACGAGTCAGATATCGTGATCCGTTCGGTCGTGGCGATTCATGCGGAATGCGATATCTCGGTATCGGGTCAGGAGGAGGGAGATGTATTTCACGTGTAAGGGTTCTTTCCTAAAACACACAGTAATCTGGAATTGGGCTTTAGGAGCTCCCCGTTCCTTCTTTTCATTTGTTCGTCCTAATCAAGACAGAAACTTGCTAATAAAAAGGAAAGAAGAAAGAATAATCAAAATTGAAGGGAAGAGAACTTTCATCGAATGCTATAACGCCATGAAGTATACCGAAATTTGAAAGAGACTAGATTAGGAGGAAAATGGTATCACTGCCACTGAAACCCCCTTTCTCCCCCCACAAACCATTCATCCACCCCAATCCTGATAACAGTGCCTAATCGGTGGTGGCCTTGAAGATAAACTTCTCCTCCTTATCGAAAGGAACACCGAGCTCGAGCAGCCTCCCAAAGACGTCCGCAAAGTCCTTGAAGAAGAGGTCGTTATCCTTGGCGTACCTCTCAACGTGCTTCCTGAATTCTTTATCTTTGATGAGTGCCATGTCGGTTGGAAGCATCATAAGGGATTTGGTCGAGACGTCCTCAAATTGCTTTGGTCCATTCCACTTCTTCCAGGCCCACTTCTCCTCAAGCAGGAGTTTGTAGTAATCGTTTGTTAACATCGTTGGAGAGAAAGTCCAGGGGCCTATAAGTGTAACAACACGTTAGCCCCGTAGCTTATAATCATACCGCTAGGGTGGGTGGACAACGTACCAACAAAGCCAGAACGATCGGTGTGGCATCTACCAAGAGCGTGGGCGCCTGACAAAGCGACAATCTCTTGATCGTTGAAGCCCATACGATTGAAGATGGTTCTGAGGTGCTTCTGGTCCTTGGACCCGTCGGGAAGACGACCATCGGGAGTGCAAGCAGATACGTCACCATCCTTACGTCCTGGCCTCCACGGAATCTTGGGGCCACCCATCTCCTGAATTGCCGCAACGGCAGCAAGAGTCCAGAGGTCGGAGTACGTGATCCAGGAGTGTTTCTGCTTAACACCTTCGAGAAGGTCACGAGCGGTCTTCAAACCAGCATTTGCACCATGTTCCGACTCGGGGGCGAAACGCATGGTGGCTCCATTGGAACCTCCAGTCTTGGTCTCCTTATCATAGGTTCCAGATGCGTGCCACCCAAGGCGGACTACTACCTTTTTACAACATCATTGTCAATTACCGGACGATAGATGTTAACGGGAATTAAAATTGGGATACATACAGGCCCGTAGGAACCATCGTCGTAATCATTATTCTCCAAGAGCTCCGCGACATCGTTATAGACCCTCTGGAAGTCATCCTTAGTGGGGGTGAATGCACCACCAGTCTTTAAGCCAGAGGCCTGGGCGCCGGAAAATGCGGGGGGGAGAAGATCATTGGAGTAAGCATAGTAACCCGCAGCACCAATCAAACCAAGACCCAAGGGGATGACAATCTTGCTAGAACCCCCGCTCGTTGAACCGCCTGAAGCATATCCACGGCGGCCAGTCTGTCTAATGGGTGTGGCGATAGAGGCAGTTGGGCGGGTACGAGTTGCCGTTGTGAGATTACGGCGGAGGGGAGTGAAGGTGAAGGATGCTTTCCTCGAAGCACGAGTGAGGGTGTGGGCTATGGATGCCATGGTGAGTGAATGCTCAGATGTGTGATTGGTTGTGTATCGGCAAGGGCTCTCTGCGCTTTATCTATCTGGAGAAAACGGGTAATCTATGGTCGTCCACCTTCTCCGAGAAAGGTAAAGGAGAAAGAGTAATATATTGGGATGGGCGGGAAGACCCTTTGTGGGACTCGAGTGGGATGACAAGGAGGAGGAGGAGAATAGGCGGAGAGAGGGGCGATGAAGGGTTAAGAAGGGTTAAGAAGGGGAGGAGGGCAGCAGAGGAGGAGAAAGAGGAGGGAAGTCCAGTGGACGAGAACAGACCGGAACAAGGGTTAGGGCCAGGGGATGGTGGGGCATTAGACGAAGCTCTCCAAAGTCTACAAAGCTGGTCTCACTTTTTTCGACTGCGAATGTCCTCTTTTCTTTCCTTCAAATTACCTTCATTCGACGACAGAAAATCTCAATCGGTTATGACGGGAAAAGGCTCTAGGAGCCCTCCCACTAATGGCTACCGAATGTTCGAACGGGACCTTCCTCGGTCCCTTACCCCTCCCTCCAACCGCTGAGTAATTATAAGTTACCTAGTGGTCCGTTAGAACTCGAGACCGTTCTCCACCCCTGTCTCTAAAGTCGCACTAATGCCGCTTCGCAGTGCGGTTTGTCCCAATCTGGTTCTTCCGGCAACGTTTTTTTTACTTTTTTTTTACCCCAGACTTTTGCTTACCTCCCTCATCCCTTCGTACCGTACCGTACTCGAGTAGCGGTACAGTATTACCGTAACTGGTAATAATAGCATCGAAAAGCTTTTGGATAGTTTTGTACGGCATCTAGAATCCTTTTGATATCAGTATTGGCGTGTGCCATGTCGGGTGCTGGAAAAGATCTCGCTTGGATTTCCCAATAAATTGGTGTCGTATACGGTAATATACCGTACATACCCACACTTTTAAAATCTTTGTGGTTAGAGGCTGGTTTGGGGGTGGGGTATTCATAGGAGGGATTTGGTCAGGTGACGGTGGTAATTAGGTCTAGCGGGTAGCATCGGTACTCGAGTATCGGTGCCGTATGTGTGTGCAAGGACTTTTTTGGGCTGATGATTCATTTTTCTCTTCTCGTCTATTGTACGAGTACCGGTATGAGGGTGAGTGAGTGCTAGTACTCGTGCAAGTAGTGGTGACCCAGAACGGCTTTTCCGTCAGCAGCCACCTTTTCTTCCCTCGTTTCGTACTCCTTCTACGAGTACTCGTAGGCCTAATGAATCTGCCCGAGTTGGGTTGCAGTACTCGGTGTAGGGTGCTTGAGTACTGTATTCGGTACGGCTCCTAAGTTTTGTACGAGTACGAATACCGGTATTTTATGAGCAAGGGGTGTTTGGCCAGCAGGGGTGCATGACGCGAATTGGGAAACTTTTACCACGGATTGGGCAACTTTTACTGAAAATTACCCAACTCGCCGCCGATACCGACGCTCCCCAGCACCCCTTTGCTAGTAAAATACCGGTACGGTATACAAAGCTTACATAAGAGCTCGGTGATACCAGCATCACATGTGTCGGAGATAAGATCTGGATCAGGGTAAGATAATCTGGTTGAATCTCCGACGGAAAAATTCTTTGCCACTAAACGATCAACCAACCAGCTAATACTTGTATTATACAGTGCCCCTCCTCGCCCACCAGAGAAAGGGGAGCAATGTCCCCGCGACAACCCACCCACTACGAGATCCTCTCGCTCTCCCCATCACTTCAAAACCTCACCTCGGACGCCGTCAGAAGAGCCTACCACAAAGCCCTCCTTCACCACCATCCGGACAAATCCCCCTCCCAGAAGGCCCAATTGAACCCCACCTTCTCCATCGACCAAATCACAACTGCGTTCACGGTCCTTTCCGACCCGGCTCAGCGGCGAGAGTACGATCGGGAGCTTAGGAGCTTGAGCGCCGGGATCGCGATTGGAAAAGTGTTGCAAACGGTGGATCTAG